TGTGACGCTATGATCTCTGTGTAGTCGATAATCCTTCTATGTAGAAAGTGTACTTGGGTAAATACTCCAATGCAAAAGTTATATAATCCAATGAAAAAGTTACAACACAAACTGCTTCAATAATCCAATGCAAGTACCTTGCGTAATAGAAGTAATAGTGTAATAATCCAATTGAAAATAGTGTCAGTGTACTTTTTCTCCGATTCAGTTGAACTTGTGAGTAATTAAAGAATTACTTTACTTGAAATGCGCACTAGGCTTTGTGCGGCTTGTATAAAGTGAAGATTATGCTGGGGAAATCTTACTTTCGATGTCTTGATACACACATCTCATCTGTAATAACGTCAGACTTCTACTTCTGTTGGTCTTGTAATATGTAGGCTTACAGTAAATCTTTGCTACAGTTGTAAATAACTTGAAAATTTTCCTTATGCTGCTAGTTGCCGTGTACCAGTTGACTGAACTCTGAACTCCCGTGACTGACCTCAATTATCGGCTAACTCTGTGTGTAGTGAACTCGTCTCGGACTTGATTAATACACGGTCGTAATGTCGTTCGCTGTATTCTTCCGCTCGAATTTTAAAATATATCATTGTTACTCAATGTTCTGTAACACATTTCTGACACTTCTTTACAATATTTGTAACGCATCGTCGTTACACCGCTTCTGACACCATTTGTAACACACCTACTCTGACATGGCGTGGGAGCTTATTTCTTATGCTGTGGGTTATGTCAGTAGTATGGTTACTTATGTTATGTTGATATTTCAGGATGCCGACTAAGGCTTCTTCATTCTTCCACTTATAATCCGGGCACGCAAATAAGAATACTGAATCCTGGTTAAACTTACAGTACTTTATTGAACACACTTTATATTGATAATATTAATAAATAATCCTTGCATGAATGTAATTTCACATATATATCTATAGTATTCCATCATTAAGAAAGACACGTCCTCACACTAAACTGTCAACTGTCTAATCACACAGCTCTCACGCTACTGACTCTACTGCTCTGCGCTCAGCTCTCTACTATCTCAGTCAACTCATACTTTATTACCAGCAAAGCGTGGAAAACAACCGCTCTGACAAAAACATAATTTTACTCTCCAAAAACGTGGAGTTCACATTTGCATCTCAAAATACATGGTCAACACAATTCACTGTTCACTCATGCTACCTCTCTGTTTTCATGTGAAAACATAGTCCGTTACAATATTTTATTGTAATGAAAGGTTGGAAGAAAATATTAACACCAGTTCACATAAAAAATCTATTCTTTCGATGCAAACCGATGCAAACCTTCGTCATAGGTTTTCACATTTACTCCATCTAATGAAAGCTTTAATTTGTGAATTTGTCACAGTAGACTGTAACTGTAATTATGTCTTTCTGTTTTTCCTGTTATCTCATCTTATATCTTTGGCCATAACATCCTCATCTTGTTGTACAAAAATCATTCACATTTGATATCTTTAAACTAAATAAAGCCCTCACCCCTCAAAAAAAAATAAAAATATGGGAAGAAAACCAAACAATTCCACTAATTAAAGTTATAATAAAAATATTGGAGAAACACGTAATGGTCAATAGTTAATAAGATTTTATTGTCTTGATATGTACATCAGAGAGCAATGGTAAAGGGTGAATCTGAGATTTATGATAGAAACATATGATCTGTATGTTATATCATTAAAGTGAGATTTGGTGGGTAGTAACTTAGAGGAAAAAGCAATATGTGGAGGCTGAATGAAGGACATAAACTGATGGGTAGCAAGGAAGAGCTCTTTGTATGTGAGTGACATTTCATGGTGGTTGGGACTCTGGGAGACATGTGAGGGCTGAGGTAGACAGACATATGCAGCAGATGGCGGTAAACAGACAACATGTTATAGTTCTGTAGTGAGTACAGACTACATTCGAGACAATTTGTGTGTGGCATTCAAGTTCAAACTTTAAAGTGATATTGAGTGTTATCTATATACACCAGAGGGTATCATCCATATGCAACAAAAGATGGTGATTAGACACTACTTTCCCCTCCTGTCCCCAATGCCCTGTGATGTTAACAGCGTGATTCACTGTAGAACAATTTCATAACAATGAAAAATACATAAATATATCAATAACGAACAGCATGCTCACTTCAAACTGGCATATACTTTCAGACTGTCAAAGAGGACTGTGCTATAGGCCAGATAATAGGGTGTTTTTTTTTCAGGTACCGGTAATAACAGTGGAGCCTCGATTTTCCAAATTTATTGGGACCAGGACGTTTCAAATAAACTATTTTCGAATTAACGTACTTGTCCACTGAAAGGTTGCATGAAGAAGTTAGTGCATAGACTAAAAAAAATGTATTCTAACTTATACACATATGGTGGATATTCTAGAGTGTATCAACCACACCACAGTGTACTGAGGTCAGCTGATTGAAGCCAAAAATGGAAGAGAACTGGATTTTTTTTTCTCAACAAAACCAACAAAAAGAGCACACTTAAATTAGAATCCGAGGTCACCCTGTCTTTGTAGGCAAATAATCTCCATGTTGAAATTATTTGCCCACGCATCCATGTATATTAATTAACAAGTTTGAAGAATGCCTTATCCCAGTCGGGTCACTAGATTTTACCTGGATTGTAAGACAGGGGTCGGACTTGTTTTCTGGTGTTTGTATCCATAGCTCCCCACCATGCACATTGCATACAATCATAATTTAAAAAACAGAGGACTGGGCTAGAAGGGATAACAGTCTTTTGCGTTCAGAAAATCGATGCTCCACTCACTAATGTATGCAAATTCCTATTGCATAAAGAAACCTTTACATATTATTATGTACATTTATACACTTAGATTTTAAACAGTAACAAAAAATTTAAATCATCTGTGAAAAAAAAAGCTTCCTGAAACTCAACTTATCCCCATTTTTCAAACTAGGTATGACATTAAAAAAAAATTAGAAAATTTTTACAAGGTTATTGCCTCTATGAGAGAAATATTTTTAAAAAAAACAAACCAACAAAGCATGTAAATATTGTAGCAAAATGATACTGCAAGGCACATCGATCATCAAGTATAAAACAGAGATAATAACCAATACATCACTCAATGTTAAGTTCAAACTTCTCAATGTCCTCTATCTCCACATCACTCAATGTTAAGTTCAAACTTCTCAATGTCCTCTATCTCCACATCACTCAATGTTAAGTTCAAACTTCTCAATGTCCTCTATCTCCATGTTGAAATTATTTGCCCATGCATCCATCCGCGATGGCTGTCAAAATAAAAAAAACACACAAACTCAATGTCTACATCTAAAGTGAAAATCATGTAGCTTGTGTTCTTTTTTCCCCCTTACAAATCAAGTGCTGAGTCTTCTCTAATGGTAATACTACAGAACAAATTAAAGAAAAGCCTAAAAAAAGCCTTAAAAAGAGTGTTAAAATATAAATTCACTGATAAAGAAAAAATATATATAATAAAAGAATTTAGTACTTATGTCTCAGATGCCACAAAATGATATTACATGATAACTGAATCTAGGGTCATGATTATATGGTACATTTTAAAATTTAAATATAAAGATTTGTGAAAAAAAATATAGCTAAAATCAAATTAGCAAAGCGTAGAAATTTTACAAGAAAGTACTGTAAATTGTAAATGTTTAAATACTTACAGACTGTTGAGACTGCAATTTTTTGTGTTTAGGGATTTTGTAGATCCTGGCAGAGCTCTTATTTACTTCTAAAGATTCTGTGAATTTAATGCAAAATCAAAAAAAATATTTTTTTTTAGTCAAAGTTAAAATTTTATGGCTATTTAAGAAAATATAAAAACTTTAAGTAAAATGACAGTTTCTCAAGTTCACATAAACAAATGTGAGTTCAAAACAACTTGTTTAAATAGGGGTGATTCATATATATTATGTACCTAGTGAAAGGATTTTTTTGGGGGGGGGGGGGGTTCATCAGTAAGTATGTATATTTATTTGCAAATTCTGATGGGCTACTATAAATAGAAAATGGCCTCTAATGCTATTACCAGTCTCAAGTCCAAATGCTCAAGGTTTTTTTTGGGGGGGGGGGGGGTTCATCAGTAAGTATGTATATTTATTTGCAAATTCTGATGGTCTACTATAAATAGCATATGGCCTCTAATGCTATGACCAGTCTCAAGTCCAAATGCTCAAGGAGGAGGGTTAGCTCGAGGCCAGCCACCCGACCTGTAAAAAAGAATGCTACTGATAACTCAAAAGGAAAAAGTAATAACAAAATTCAGCCCTGATAAGTGAGGGCTCTCTTTCCCCAAGAAGAGACATGGAGCCTTGTGGCTAGAGCCAGGTTATTCTGGAGTTGTCAAAGCAGAGGGACCCTCCTTTCATAGGCAATATTCTGAGTGTAAGCATAGACTTGTGAAATGTTAGAACCATGCTTGAGACAGGGAAAGCAGCGCAAATGGTGACAGAAATGAGATCATACAGGGTCATCCTGCTTGGCATTTGTCAAACAAGATGGACACAAGCTAAACAGTTAAAACTGGCTTTGGAGGAAATACTAATAAACTCAGGTCAGAAAGAAAAAATCCTCCACATGCGCAAGAAGTTTCTTCCATGATGTAACTGATGGCCCAAGGGACGTTGAAAGGGTGGGACGCCCATGGTCCTAGAAAATTACAACATTCACAAACAAAAAATTAAATAAAAATGTTAACAGTGCTATGCATCCACCAACTATGGCAAGGAAGATAAATTATGAAGAAGAAGCTAGTTACATTCGATTACAAGGTTCACAAGAAAAGTTCCCATACAGAGCTAAATATCATGATAGGAAATGTTTAAATGCTGAGATTGGAAAATAGTAGAGGGTATGAATAAATTATAGGGGAACTCATTTTTATTTGTAGGCCTGCATACGCAGTGTGTGTGTGTTTGGTCCAAAAAGTATGCTAGCAAAATGTGATCACTCAAAGCATGAGCCTTTTAAAAAAAAATTAAAATTAAGGGAAATTATTGTACGCTACACTCGAATTAAATTGTAACCTACCTGAGTCAGCTGAGAAGATTTCATCAGAGAAAAGACTTGGAGTTACCAATGATACCATTGGCATATTTTCCTGTGAGTTTTCAGTTTTCTTTGATCTGATGTCCTTGGAAACAGAACTTGGTGAGGAATCTGACAGATTATTTTGTACTGAACGATATAAACTTTTTGATCGTGACATTTTCTTGACCTTTTTCTTTTCTTTTGGTTTATTTTGACGAGGTGAAGCTTGAGATGGTGAAGTCTGAGGTGGTGAAGCTTGAGGTGATGAAGTCTGAGGTGGTGAAACTTGAGGTGACCCCAATGAATCAAAACCAAAACAAGAGTCATTCACATCTTTTGAAACTTCACCAAAATCTTGCAAAACTGCAGTGTTTTTTTTGGAATTGGGACTGAATATATTTCGTCTGTTCATAAACTGAAGACCAAATGCAGAGCAACGCCTTTTTTCTCCTGTATTTGCATTTATAATGTGTGTAATTTTTTTATTTGTATGATTTTCTTGATTCAAATTTTTATCCGCTAAGCTCTTCGCAGGCATTTCAGTGCATATTTTCTTGCTAGGTGGAGACAAAGCGATCCCAGAGTCTGCCTGGGAACTATAATTTAGCTGCACAGTAATATCAGTCATTTGATTGAGGTCACAACCACGTTTACGTGTAGATCTCCTGATCTGGGGTGTTATAAAGCTGTCATCCGATGCCGTTGCGCTTTCAAAAGTTTTGACGGGCAAAATGGGTGTGACTTCGGGAGTTCCCGAGGGAGATTTCAGCTTTGTTTGTTTAGTTTTCAATACTTCAGTGTCACTGCTGTTCAGAAGAACAGGCGTGCTGGTGGAATTCGTTTTTAACTGTTTTTTCTTGTTGACTTGTTTCAATTGTTGGACCCCTGTGCTTTTTTTAACCTTTTGGGGGGCAATTTTTTTCTTATCCTGTTTCTTTGCTTTAATAAAGGGCACATCTTCATCCATATTGATGTCATATGGGTCACTTGCAACAATTTGACTTGGACTGGAATTTGGTGTACTGAATTCTTCATCTGCATCATAGGCAGAGTCCACCTGTTGAAATACAGATAAATTACATTATGATGAAAGCTGCGAAAGCCTGAATCCGATACATTTAATCATCATGTTGCAAGGCAAACAAAAACCCTTTGGTTGTTGTAGCTACTATGAGCAATAACACTACTACAATAAATAACTATAAATTAATGATGGATTTTATGTTTTTAATAATCTTACCAAAACAGCATGTTTCTTCATATGCCCTTCTGATTTCATGTTCTGAAATGTAAAATCCCAATAACTTGGTTAATGTCTGGCATGGTGGATTAAGTAGCTTGATTTATTATCACAGAATCATGTCTAGTCAATTAAAAAGAATAACCAACATCTAAGAAGGCGCACACACAAAATATAAAACAATTGAATATCATTAAAGTTTTCAACTTATTACTCTGGCTGCGGCTATTTGTACCCGGGTACCAGAAGTGAGAGGTGCGAATAGCCACTTTGTATTATTTTTGTTGTATGTGTACAATTTTGGTTATTTTTGCATGTTCTAAATAAAATGCAACTATTTATAAATGTTCAAATAAAAGTGACCAGAATTATCCCCTCCACACCCCCCCCCCCCCCCCCCAACAATAATAATAATACAGTGTGATAGGTATCCTTGCAGAAATTTACCTTAATTCTACCAGAAGAACGAGATCCACTTAACCTAGAACCTGACTGGATACTATCTTGATTTTCTGTTTCACTGGAAAATGTGGAACCATGCCCTGCAAAAAATGTTTAACAGCATTGTAGGTCTGCACACAGTGTGTATTGGTATAATATAATCATAATTACATTTTTTTTGTTAACTATTTAGAGAAAGCATTTTAAAAGGAATGCCCTGTACTACAATGTTAAAAGATTTTTTTTTTATGTTTGCAAATCAATTATCAGTTGAAAGTTGTAAAATATGATTTTAAACAATTTTACTGTCCTTCATAGAAATGTAGTCTAATAGCTTATAATGCAAGTTATTGTATGGGCCTACATATTAATAAGCTTGGAAGCAATGTCAGTGGGGATTTTTTTTTAAATTTCAAGTTCATTGCCTAAATAGGGCTGTATATAATTAAAAGATAAAAGTAACATTGTTTGTTCACAAAAAAATGATTAAATGCATCATGCACCTGCTGTATTACAACAGCCAGTGAAATGAGTATTAGGTACCTTTTAGCACTATGTGCTGTAACAAATTAAATATGCATGCAATACTGTGTCAAAGGCATGTCCACAGTTGTTAATTATTAAAGTATAAATAAAGAACAACTGATAACCAGCAAAACTGCTGTTAAAACGTGTTATCGAACTTGAAAATTTGATTATATACATTATGCTTATAATTTATATTATTATTGAATAGGCTCTTTTAAGGGTCTGTATTTGTTTTTGGCACTATACTTACGTCACTATACTTACGTAACTTGCATTTTATAAATGATACAAATACAAACAATAATTACATGGCTGCACACTTATCATTAACCCCAGAGCCCTTTATTACCAATATTTATTAATTATAGTATGCTTAATTAGTAAATAAAATCATGGCTAATGGTAGTTATGGAAAAAAGTAAAGAGTAACTGTAGATATACTATTACAGCATGGGTATGTTTATCTTTTTAATGATTAATGTGTAAGAGTAAGACTTCAAATTGACAAAAAAAATTACTGCACAAAGATAGAGAAGAAGATATATTAATTAGTAATAGGCATTTGGCTTATTATGGCTAATAAAAGGCCTATAATTTATTGGTAAGCCTACCAAATTACAAGTCAAATTGAAATTACAGAGAGAGGGTTGTTATTTAAATTAAGTTTTAAATATCTGACTTGATGAGAGAACATTTTTGTGGCTTTGCTTACTAACAGATAAGCATCAACAGTGCTGACCAGCAGTGATTATTTCAAAAATCCCCCCCCCCCCGGTCAGATTTTTCGAGGTGGGGGCAGTGCCAGTTCAAGCCAGTTGATTTATTGTTGGACATATTTTTGCTTTTGCTCAGGGGTGGGGGGCCGCTTGGCTACCCAGGGGTGGGGGGGCAGTGTCCCCCCGGAGATATAGCTGAAAGAAACCCTGCTGATCAGGACCAGCTACAACAGGACCTCCATCAGTTAGCTAAGTAGGAGAAGAGCTGGGACATGGAATTTCATCCTGGCAAGTGCTAGACCCTATCAGTCATTAGAAGTAGAACCCCTTTAGACCACCCTTACTTACGAACTTCATGGCCATATGCTTGAGCCAGTTTCCCCTGTAAGGTACCTCAGTGTTACCATTCAATGAGAGCTTCACTGGGACAAGCACATTAACATTGTGTGCAACCGGGCAAACAAGACCCTAGGGTTCCTAGGCAAAATCTAAGGATAATCAACTCCAGTGTGAAAGAAGAAGCCTTTTATAGCATATAGGCCATTTTAATTAAAATATTTTGTATATATTTATATTATCATGTTCCTCAGCAACAGTAGTTTCATGAGAAGTTTTTAAATATTTTGTAGCAATTTAAATAATTTAAAATGAAATCTTTAACTTTTATTGGTTGCCACACTGGCCCCTAATTTATTTTATGGATTACTGGTACACAAAAAATAACAAACTAAACAAAAATGTTTACAAGCCACTTTCACTTAAGTTTCTTTTTCTATTATTTGCATTCAAGATACTCAGTACATTACTTGGTAGAGAAATAGATTTTAAAATTAACAATAGTTTTGAATTATTCGCAGTCACGTGACAAGGCTGACCGACACGATATCTCTCGCCACTTTGTTACGGCGGTCATGTGACTTGGTCGCCGGACGCATAGTGCGGGAGATAGACGTCCGGCGCGCCGGACGTGTAGACACTGCCTTTTTTATAAACCCAACCTCATTCTTTTCAGGGTGAGAATAGCCCCTTTAATTACTATAACTTTTTATATTTATCATTAAATTAATCATTAATTAATGAATGATTAACAGTTGACTAGCTTCGTCATACTCATTATTATCATTAACATTAAAATTTACAATAATAACAAGAAGACAGTGTCACTTTAATTTTAGGCCAACTCCAAAAAATAAGAATTGACTACTAGACTACTAAGACTTTAGTTAAGAGAAGAAGAATATTTAAGAGTATATAAAATTATTATTATTACTAATAATAACATAGAAATTAGTAATATTTATAGTTTTATATAGTATTATAATATATAATAACATAACTTGTATTAAATTATATTAATATTATATAATCGTCTCTGATTGTCTATTCAATGTCAATAGTACTCAATACTGACAAGTTATTGAGGTCATTAATATAAATAATAAACGTATAAAAAGCCAACCAACCCTCACGAACTGCAGTGGCAGATGAAAGATCAAGTTCAATATTTTAAAATAAATATTTGCATGTTTGTTTTTAATAATGGTTTGATGGTGTGACAATGGCCATGGGGTGCCTCATGCCATAACTATTTGTTATGCTTTCCTGAATTTGACCCTGCGTGACCCAGAATTCAAATTTTTAAAGTTGCACGAAATTTTATTGAGCTCAACTTAAAATAAAATTTAAATCTTTATAAAAACAAAAAAAAACATTTCAAATAAGTATATTTTGTATTTATGGGCATGCCATTCTCATAAAAAAGATCATTTGTTTCATTTTTATTTCACAAATTATTTGAAGAGCACGCACTCTGTTATATTTTGATTTCAAAATGGCGCTGTCCATCATACCGGGAATGGCGCCAATAACAATATTGAGTGTGATGCTGTTTTCATTAAATATTTGTATTATTCGTTGCGCAAAGTTAAATGCTCCTAAAGTATTATTACCATATTATAGTTCTGTAATTACAAATTTTACATTACAAGTTGAGTACTCTCCAGAGGAGGCACACATAGCTAACTGCTATCGTTGGTAATCCTTTTTTAAGATTTTTCAAAACAAATTTCGAAGTTTTTGCTTCTCTTCACTAGTTTTCATTTTCCTCATTTGTACTAATTCATTCCAAAGTTTATTAGAGCACAATAGCTTATTATTCTTTGTTTTTAGTTTGTATAGTTTCACAAATTATTATAAACTAAAATCAAACTTAGTAGTCTGTGTAGAGTAGAGTAGTGTAAACTACATGTCTGCTAACATGGGGAGGGGAAAGAGAGGTAATTTGCTAGTTTTTAACTTACAGAGAAAAGAGAATAGTAACAAAACATTAAAATTTAATGAAATATTTTCAGCAGGTATATTAATTTCTAGGCAAACATAACTTAATTGTATCCCTCTAGATATGCAGCAAGAAGTAACTACGAAGACCTTCATTTGCGGCAAATTTTGCCCCCTTTCCTGGTGTAATTTCAGCCGGTACATTAATTTCACGGCAAACAATCTAACAAAGTAACTTTATTGTATCACTCTAGACTCTAGAAATGCTGCAAGAAGTGTCAACGATCTGCATCAGCTCCCTTCCTTCAATCTTAAACATCATTTGTGCTACAGTTTGCACGCTGTCTTAAATTTTAAAATGTGTAATTGAATAATAGTAATAGGGCTTGTCATTTAATGGCGGAAATCTATTAATAGAACTGATGTCACCATTACTGATCATCCCGGTACTCAGCGCGGACAAAATGTCAACACTGTTCAGTATTACTATGTAGCGAAGTGTCCCTGAAACTTGTTTACAACTCTATTTTACGAAATATTTTACACATTTTTTTTTACTTCTGTTTTCTCAAATGCGACTTCATTGCGTGAACGTCATATGTAACAGTAACTCTAGATACAAGGATCGCCCGAACGATATGCTGAAACACACTGTAAGCTGCCATGTTCGCTGACCTTCTAAAATAGTACGCTATGACGTTTTCCGGTCTTAGAAATGACAAAGCCTATTGTAATAAATTAAATGTCATAATGAAGAAAAACAATACAAAATTTATTCAAAATTTAACTTAATGAAAACAAAACTGACAGTTTCATAGAATACACTTTTACACACTTTAGTGCAGGCTCCTCTAAAAATAAAAATCTAGAAGATTATCAGAAATACCCATTTTTCAAAATGCAGGAAATTTAACTATTATAATTAAAAACCCAATGAAATTAAAGCTTAAAACATTCTGTATTAATGTTAAGAATAAACAAAAGGGAGAGAATCCTGAACTGAAACTAGTAGTAGCGTACCGAACCAACATTAACCTTAGCCAAACGGCAGAGGATCTTTGGTAAATACTTTCTGAATTTTCAATAGAAGTCCAGAATCACACTCCAGAAATATTTTCATATATATTGCCTAGAAGACACATAGTATTTGATGACCAAAATTCTGAATATTCGTCACTAAACTCTCAAAGTAGATTACTTCCATGTCCATAATGAATTTTCACTGAAAAGTTTTGCTACTACTAGATCAATAAGACACGAACAAATTGTGTCAATATAACAATAAAAGTTACGCTTTAATAATAATTATACATTATACACAAGTAAACGTTTCGGCCACATGCCTTCCTCTGTACAAACAAACAAAACACATTTAAATAAGTATAAATTAAATTATTGCAGTCCAACACTTTTTATAATTTGCTATTACTACTACTAATACTAATATGATTTTGAAAAGCAAGAAAAGAGTAAATTGTTTTAGAAAAAATTAATATTAACTTTGCAAATGTCAGAAAAAAGCCATCTCTGTCAAAGTAGAATCAGACTATTACAGCTTTTTAATTTTACATTGACTAGCAATTTATAAACATATTGACTATGATAGTCTTGACCTCTCCTATGGTGATCTATGGCAGAGACCAGCAACCTTTTTTTTACACTCCTAAGGCCTTTCCAATAATACAGCTGCACACCACGAATAACAAAATGCAAAAATATACTAAATAATATAATGTAAATAACATCTATTATGACAAACATCTATAAGGACATGTAATCCTGAAAGAGATAATATTACTGTCCAGTAACTCTTCATTAACTGTACGGGTCACAATTCTGTTGCCACAGAGTTTAACAGCTTGTCAGCAATTTCCCTTATTTCTTATTTTTATTTATGTACCTACATATACTTTTTGCTTTTCCTCCTCTTGGAGGCATTTTACCCGGCACATCTGGCATCATCTTGCAGCAGCACACCAATGTGATATCACACACCGGTTGCGGGGATCTGACCCATAGCATCAAAAAAAGTTCAACACTGTGCCAGATTTGGGATTGTTAGCAAAGAATATAAACGTTCCTCTGTTCATTGTGTTTGTTTCTGAAATGATAATTTGATATTTATTTTTTTTAATGTGCACAGGCGCTCTACGTCTCCAGAGATAGCCCAAGTCCAACTTGTAAATGCTACTGCTGATGCTTGTGCTCAAACTGCAATTGTTTCTGCCATCTCCAAAACGCCACATCAAAAAGCAACAGTTATTTTAGCAGAAAATAAAGGTATTCTTTATTTCTTTTTTCAATTCCATTTCTTAAAGTAGAAGAAGGAAGTCCCGCTATAATGCAAAGTAAGATATAACTCAATTGTGGCCTGGATTTTTTAAAAAAATATTTTACTTGGGACATCAATAAAGTTATGTTCTCTGCAAAAAAGTAAATATTGTAAAAAAAAACAATAAATGCGATTCAGCTATTAATAGAATCCCTTTCTACGGACCCCAATTATTGCATTATAGCGTATTTGTACAATTTTTACTTTTGAATTATTTGTTTTCTTATTCCTTTTTTTTTTTTTAATTTTTTTTTTTTTTTTTTTTTAAATTTTAATGAAATTCTTTTTTTTTTTTTTTTTTCCCCCCCCCCCCCCCCGTGTTGTTTACATAAAATAATCATATTTTCTTTTCCTTTGTTCTTGTTTTTTTTTAATTGCAATTTGTATTTAAAATAAGTTATTGGATTGTAAAGTTTGTTGATATCTTTTATTTTTATTAGTAACTGGGGAGATTTTGAGGACAAATGTTATAGTTGGAGAAATTGTGCGACTTGAAATAGAAACAACCACCAGGCTCCTTTTCTTGGAAGACTCACCAGAAGAACTTAAAGCAAGAGGTTATGACAGTGAAGGTATGCTTAAAATGCCATGGCTTGAGAAAATAATTAAGCTTACCTTTACAGAAACGATTCTTTTATTTAAAATATCATGACCATTTTAAAAAAAAAAAAAAAAAAAGAAACATTTTTAATATGTTTAGTAACTGGATTATCAATGCTATTGTCATGATGTAGTGTGAATCATTAGATGTAGCTAGTAATTATGGCTCTAATAAAGTATATCTGCATTAAGACGTTTCGTTTAAAATTAAATTTATATTTCAAGAAATTATTCTTTAAGGAAACATCTTCTCAAACTTGGAAGGGCTGTCATTTGAATGGAATCTTATTTCTGACAATGAAACTGGATTTGATGTTGTCGATGCTCATAATATTCTCAGGTGGGCACTTCTTTAAAAAGAAAAATTGTAAACACATTTGTAATTTCATTTGTTTAAAAAAAAAATAACATAATTCATTATTTTCTAAATAGAATAATAATCGTTTCGCTCAAAATTTTATTTTTTTTAACAGAATTAAGAGATTTTCAGATTCACATTATACCACGCCACGCCACATCTCACCACTTGAGGAGCAGGGAAAACAAGGAGATATGATTCTTGTTGAGGGTATTCGCACTGGAAGTGCTAAAGTTTCAGCAAGGCTTAGGGACCCAGCTTATAAGGTATTTTAATGAATATGTATATTTGTATATTTTGCATTAACTTGAAAATAACATGCATTACCTGCAGCTATATGTTGATAACTATCTAGTATTGGGAACTTGTGTTATAAACTTGAGTGAATGCCTCACATTCAGTTGATTTACTGAAAGCTATAATAAATGACTCTCTATATATGCCAATAGTTGCACTTGTATTTACTTAGAATGTGAAACCCAATGATGTCCGGATTATGGTTATTGCCAACCTGATACTTTCACCTCTTGAAGCTTATGTACTGACCCATGGTCATGTCCAGTACAAGGTTGAGATCCTTAGGCACAATTCCTTAAAAGGTAGGTAAACCCAGTTGTAAATGCCATCCAAACCTACCAGTTATTTATTGAACATGTATGTAATTGAATTTCTTATTCAGAAATCTAAATAAATAAATAACATTTAACCATATCGTAACAACTTCTTCTTCTTCTTTATTTTAAGGGCCCACGATCAATGACTTGATCATTCTGGCTCCTATGTTTCAGAGGGGTTTGCGATGTTACTGTCCATGGGTTTCAATGGGATACTTCACTGGTTGCAAGGGCGACTCAGCAGTGGTGTTATGAACTGGGGGTTGGAATACAGGAGGCAATAGACACAAATGTGTCTAGTGTAGCTGCCTCAACTGTTGCTTTTGGAAGCTTGTTCCAGNGGAAGATGAACGAGTTTCTGTTTGATTCCGGAGCAGTGCACCAGCCCATTTGTTATCTTGTACAACATGGTGAGCCTGGATAGTCGTCGTCGTTTTTCCAATGTCGACCAGCCCAGTGTTTCCAGCATGCTACCAACACTCAAGGTGCTTCTGTAGCGGTTCATGACAAAGCGCGCTGCCCGTCGCTGGACCGCCTCCAACCTGTCGATGCTTTTCTGGGTAAATGGGTCCCAGACTGTAGAAGCGTACTCTAAAATAGGTCGGACAAAGGCTTTATGGGCTTTTTCTTTCACGCTTGAGTTGCCGATCTTCAGATTGTGCCTTAGGAACCCCAGGGTCTTGTTTGCCCGGTTGCACACACTGTTAATGTGCTCGTCCCAGGGGACCTCTCTTTGGATGGTTACTTAAGATGTAAAACTGGGAGAATGCTTTGCAGCCTGACAGACAAGAGTGGGTTAATTATTACTTAACATTTTAAAAAGCTCACACCGCTTATTAGTCATAATTATGTGTTATTCTTTCATAGAGAATGAATAGCTACAAAGCCTTGAATGAAAGCCATCTCCTTTAACAAGTGTTAATCAACCCCGACTTTAATTTTTTTCCAAAAATACTCTGTTGACCACAATTTTATTAAAACAAAAAACAACAAAGGTTCACCAATTCAATTTTAAGTATGTTTTCTCTATTTCTAGAGATTGAACTGCCTTCCAAGCAATACTACCTTGAGGTCAAGGAAAAAGCTATTTGTTCTTTTGATAGCCAGTCGTCTACTGCCACTGCTCTTGCCATGGGATCCACTGAAATAGTGTTAAAAGACAGAAGTATCCTTTTTTTCTAACATTCTCATATTGTGCTTCTTCAAAATTAAAAAATGCAGTGTTGTTCTTTTTTGTTGGAAGATAAATTCTATGGAGTTTATATTGTAAACATTCTAATACAAATTGAATTATTCTTTAGGCACTAGGGATGAAAGCGCAGGGGTCCTGAAAACAACCAAATATGTGGGTTGTATCCCTTTGTTTTTTTTTCTGCATGTGGCAGATTGTTAACTCAGGGGTGATTCTGCAAATCTGAAGTGCTGCTTAGTTCAATTTTTTTAAAATAATTGTTATTACCATGAACCATTGATAGTTTAAACTTAATATACTTCTGAAAGCTACATAAAAAAAATATTTAAATAATACTATGGCATCAAAAGCATTAGAGTGGTTAAATATTTCTGTTAAAATCTTTGAAGTTAAAAAATAAATTTCATGTAATGCTGATAGTTTTTTAATGTTGATACCCTATGATGCATTGTGAGAAAAAAAAGTGTTGTTTTTTTTTTTTTTCAATCTAAAATATAACACTTAAAATTAGACTAATAAGATTTTTTCAATGAGTATCTTTTATAAATGCATTTGACACTAAATAACATTATTTCATTTTAATTAAGACATTCTTTAGAAACTCAATTCTAAAAACAATAGTTGTATTACGCCTTAAAACTAATTCTGTGTTATTTCATGTTACCTTTTCATTGAAGTGTTTTCTTTTTTTTTCCTTTAGATTAATTTTGTTTTGAGTCAGCTAGTAAGTAAAGAGCAGTCCACCATTGATTTCTGGTTATGATGAAAGTGCAGGGGTCCTGAAAACAACCAAACATGTGGGTTGTATCCCTTTGGCTCACTCTGCATGTGGCAGAAGCTTCTGCCAAGGGGACGATTCTGCCTATCTGAACTGGAAAATAAACTTTGCTATAGATTTAACCTTACGATGTATCAATTTAAAACCAAAAGCAATCCTTAACCATCATCCAGACATTGTTGCTACTGAGTTTTTTCGCCAACCTTCGGCCATGATCCATGTTGTATCTCCAGGATTTTTGGGTAAAGAACGACTTGAATGTTACAGATTTTGTTTTTCCATTAAGGTTTTTAAATAAGAATTGCCATATCTAACAAATGTGAATCTTTATGTCAATAATATAACCTTTATATTTTTTCCATTATTTCTCTACAGCTTTTGTAATTCTGCCCCACAGAAAATGGACACTAGAAGCTGGGAGAGAATATGAAATATTTGTTGAAATATATGACACTGACAGTCACAGAATCTACCCTTCTGATGTAAGAATTCAATTGTCTGTGTTATTCATTGTAATTAGTTTTGTTGCAAATGTTTAAAATGGATATTACACCTACATGTTGAAAACATTTAATTTTTTGTTTTTAAAGTCTTAATTTACTCTTTATAGAATGTGAGAGTTGTCACTGAGTTTCCCACAGCTTACTTCAAAGTCTTTTACTCAAGTAAGAATGGTACCTATCACAGAGTCAAGGCCCTTATGAAAGGAGAAACTGTTATTGATGGAACACTTGTCAGTGTTATTGATAATGTAAGTACTTGTTAATCCATGTTTCTGTAACAGAAATGATTGTGTCAGTGCAAAACACATTGGGGGAAATCACAACACTTTTTGAACGTTAAATGTAAGATCTTTTTTCAGCAACTTGATCCTAAAACTTATTCAAACAGTTAAATCAAAGCATAAAATTCCCCATTTTCGGTGTGATTACTTATTACACACATCTACACTTTCTTGGTTGTTTACACACAGCTGCACTGTGTCGGTTGTTACACAAAGCTGCACCGTGTCGGTTATTACTCGCACTATATTTAAATGGAGATTAAACCCCCCTTATTGCTGTGGATTTGAAAATTCATGTTACATTATTTTAATAAAACAGAACCCACCTAATTTTGTTAGATTTAGACCAAGTTAAATAGCTAATTTTAGCTCTTTAGAGCTCCTTCAACCAAAGATATGAACAAACGATAAAATCAAAATATGTGTTTATAAAAACACACACGCAACAAAAGTTTTTAAAAATGCTGGGAAAGCTAATGACTAATTTGTTGTTGTTCGTCCGTCGCATGCGGAGATGACCAAAGCAATTTTCAACTTGAGTAGTAGCCTTGACTTGAGTTGTGTTTTGTTTAAAGTGAGGAAAGAGTTGCTCAATTCACCAGCCTCACTGTTTTGTTCTTTCCTATTTGATCCAATGGCAAGACTTCGTCAATACAACTGAAATAGACCAGGATGCAATAGGAGACAAGCAGTAATGTGTGTGTGTTTCATTGTGTCTTTATGCATTCTACGATGCCAAAGTTTTTGAAATTTTCATTGTGTCATAACACATATGGGACTCCATCTCCAGGTTTAATTTCAGAGTTTGCCTTCTTTTAGATCAGTTGTCATCCAAAGTTGACGAATGTCATCCACCTGGAAGGCTGTGGATGTGTTTGCTTGTCTAGACATTTTGCCTGGGATTGAATTCAAATCCACTAGCTTTGGATAGACTATCCTCATATACCTACAATTGCTTTATTAGTTCATTCCTTTCAACACAGCTAACATCCATACATTCAGTTGTGAATCATTTTTACACTAATTCCTTTTTTTCCCTCTTTAAAGTTAAGTTTCCACTCACATAAATTCTTCAGTGCTTGAACTTTATATGCAGAATGGTAAGGAAGTGGCTGTGAGTCCTGAAGTCAAACGCAGTCAAGATGTTGAAATTTATGATCCCATCATTGTGACCCCTGAGCTGGTTGTCTTTCCATGGGATCCTCTGTCTAGATGTATTCACAAGTACACTCTTCAGGTAGATTTTTTTTTTTTCATTTGAATTTTAAGAAACCTTTAAATGACTTTTAAACACGAACAGCATTATAGCCTGATGTTTTTTTTGTTTGGAATAATTCAGAAATTTTTTAAAATGAGAATAATGAAAATTGTTGAATTAGTATGGTCTTTATAAGAAATTTTAATTACAGAAATGTCAATAGCTGATTAATTCAATAGATCCTGAATTTCTTAATTTTCTTAAGTTAATTTTGAATTATTTTTATTTTTTGCATAGGCCAGTGGTGGAAGTGGAGAATATGTCTGGAGCATCACCGATTCAGATGTGGCGTCAGTAAATACACAAGGGCAGATAACCACTGTTGGTCCCGGGAAAGCCAACATAACTGCAGCAGATGCTAAAAACTCTGCATACCTTGATACCTCTGTGGTAAATGTTTGGCCAATTTTCTGTTTTTAGGTCATTTTTAGCTCAACCGTATTGTTCTCAATGCCACAAACCTGTTACTCTATGTTTTACTAATAAAAGAAGCTTTTATTCTCTAGCTCATTATATTTTTAAAATCTGTTGGAAATAGAATTTATGAAGGCTTACTCTATATTATGACTTTCTCAACTCTCCCAATTGCTAAGAATTCATTGTTTCCCATTATTATCTACAGGTTCATGTGCTTCCACCATCAGAAATGAATTTCTCACCATCTAGAGTTGAGGCTTCCATTGGAACTACCCTACAGTTACCTCTGAATGTCTTCGCAAAAATAGATAGTATGTTTTTACATTAATAGGTACTATGTTCCAGGGGTGGATCAACCTATCGGAAAGAATTATTGTGTAACAAAACAAAAGCTTTTGAACAAAGATACCAAAGTTTTAATATTATTGTTTTTAAATTATACAGTATTTATATACTAGCCTTTCAGTCCAACATAAAGTCATTTCAATCTCATAATAATATGTCAATCTCCTTGTATTAAGAATTGCTGAAGGCAGAGAGGTTAGTCCAAAGATTGTGCTCTGTAAATTTGACAAATGCAGGAATTGACTCATATTACTGTAATGGGATTTCCAAGAATTCAGCTGATACTAAATTCAACAGTTCTTCTTCTATATATTAAGGGTCCACGATCAATGATTTTATAATTCTGGCTCCTATGTATGTAGAGGGATTTGCAATGTTTCTATGCCTGTCTGTGCTGAGGATGTTTCACTGGTTGCACTAGGGTTTGGAAGGCCTGAGGCAAGAAACACAAATGCGTCAAGTGTTGTCGCCTCAACTGTTCCTTTTGGGAAGCATGTTCCAGTTCTTTATTGTCTTTGGCAGGAATGAGCAGCTTCGGTTGTTTTACAAAGATCGTACCTGAACCTGTTTGCCTTGTTGAATTTAATAGCTGCTTTTATTTATTTGTTTAAGTCTTAAGGTGAATGGATATTTAGGCTAAACTGATCAAAGAATTCAGTGATACTAGAAGCCTGAATACAATTAAAAATACTAGATAATGGTCCAAAGAGGATTTATTGACTAAAATCTTTGAAAGTTTCTATGACTCAAATGGTGGATTACTCATGGTTACAGTTTGAACATTCTAAAAAAAAATGTGCAAAAAGCAAATTCAACTGGGGACATATGATTCAAAGCGAAACTATTTCAAAATTATTATTTTTATGTTACAAAATGATTTTAACGGTGCAATCTGTTTGCCAAATTCCCAACTGACAATTCTTCTTGGGATTCAAAGTTGAAGCAAGGGCAGCTCCATTTCTGGTTGAACTTTAAGACCTTGCATACATTTTTTGCAATTTAAAGAAAGGTCCTAGCCCTGAAATATGTCTAGAAGTAAAAAAAATAACAAAGACAATTATGAAAATAATGGGGATACACGCGTTTATTAAAAAAGAGTAAAGAGCGAAATGGGTTGGTTCATATCGTATTCACTTTTATATCATTTGCGATTGTGATCGTTCGGCTAAGTAAACATGGATTGAATGATGATACAAAAATTGAAAGGAAAGAAATTATTTCTGTTTAGATGCCGATCGTATTCAGTATAATTTTCTTGTTACATTTACTCACTTTTCCAATACCAGTATCCCAAGTTTTATACGAATAAAGTTTCTGGAAAAGGAAATTTATAAAAAGTCAATTGAGATCAACTTCATCTGGAAACAAATTGGAAGTAATATGCGGCTGAACTGCGAACGAGACATAACAGCAAATTGTATGACGGACAAATAATTTATGGCCTGGCAAAGCATAGCAATAAATATGGATATATCCTCAAATACCTATGATTAAGGCTTTGATATTAGCCTACATGTATCTTTGTAATCTCTCACTTAATATGTGGGTTTTTATTATTATTAATTTCTCATTTTAAAGATTATATCTAAATTTTTTATATTAATAATTAAAAAATTAAGTAAGTTTATTTTGTATATATATTGGTCTTTATTTATACCTATTAAAACATTCCCCCCCCCCCCCCCAAAAAAAAAGGTCAACAAATACCAGGAGAGTAGATTGATTCAATCCCGCGTTCCGCCACTGCTAAGTATCACAAGAAGTACATTTTGGGGCTCTAAAATAAAAACCTTGATTTAAACTGTTATAAAATATTTGACTTTGCCTAAGTGTTACCCATATTTCATGGATAAAATGATATGTTCACAAAAATGTGTCATCATTGTTTAACACTTTTTTTTTAATATCTACAGAAACTCAGTATGCTTTCACACACTGCCATCAGCTCCCCTTGAACATTACTTTCAGCGAGTTTTCTGTATTTGAACAAGTTGATCAAGGTAATCTTCCAATCGTCCCATCACCGGTTTTTAAATTATAGAAGAAAAAAAAACTGATAAATATTCTGTCATTTTTTAAATTATTCTATTTTGACATCTTGTTTTTTGTTCTTTCCAATGAATATAGATGAAGATGCTTCTCTGGGGGCACTTGAGAAAGGCTGTAGGTCATTTACCTTTCTGGCCAAGCGACAAGGACACACTGAAGTCACTGTGACGTACCAAAGCAAAAATGTGCTTCTGCATGCATCAATTACAATAGCTGCCTATAATCCTTTGAAGGTGATACTGATTGTTTATTTGTCAAAGTAATTCACCTGTGATCAAATAATTTACTGTTTACTTCATGAATTGATTGGGGAAAAACTTAAATTTAAAATTGTGAATGAGTAAAATTGTAAAATGTCAGATATTAATATGTAAATAATCTTTTGCTGTTATTGTATTGATCTCTAGCCTATAGACCCAGAGGTAGAAGCTGTTGTGGGACTCGGGTCCTCTAAAGAAGTTCTATTCACGGGTGGACCTCAACCGTGGGTTTTGGACTCATCGAAATTTTTACAAGAATGTGAGTGTTTGTATAAATTGCCAAGGCTTTCATTTACAGTCTTTGTTCAAAACCTTTTTTTAATTTGAAATAAAATTAGTGCTTCCTTGATTTTAAATACAGACTTGCAATCAGTGTTCAGATTATTTTAACTTAACTCTTTCTCTCGGGGTCAACGCTCCCATCGTCGATTTTAAATCAGGTTTCTGGCGGATCGTCGATGTACAAAAACCTGTTTATTTCGGTTCTTTTCTTAGCTATTGGTTTTTAACTACTTTTAATAAAAGCTAGAATGGTTTCCCTTTCATAAACATCCGGTTTTTCTTTATTTCAACGAGTTTTTACATAGAAAGAAGTGTTTGAAGCGTTTTTTTTTATTGTCCATTTTATTTTGTTTACAAACATGAAATCTTGACTTGACCTATCTGGTGATCGATCTAATAAAGGTTGAAAATATTACGCTACTGAAGATTCAGACAGTGATTTTTTTATTTCGGATGCAGAGGCTGATTCCGATGAATCGTCATATAACTATAATCCTAGTACTAGTATTAGTATTACTAGTGACGAAATAATGTTCCTTCTAGAAGTGTTAATACTGTTCCTATTATAAATAATGTAGATTCTAAAAGGAAGCCTGCTAATCTTAGCACTAAAACTGAGTGCGATTAACCTTTGAAAAATTTAGATGTAAATTTGGAGCTTGTATTGTGACTAGCAAAAAATTTAGATGTAAATTTGGAGCTTGTATTGTGACTAGTAAGTCAAACGACCTTGACTATTTTTTTTTACTTCGCTAGACACACATTATTCACAAGCTTGTACTCTCAATAAATGAGTAGGCTTCCTACATAATTAAAATCAACACTCCAAGAAGACTAATCAAAGCAAACATGTGCCTATTAGCTCCTAAAAGGACAATGTGCAAACACTAACGAACAGGGCGAACTGTACAGGTATGTTTGTGCTGGATGTTAGTCAAATCTGCACATCCGTATGGATTGTTTTCAGGCTTACCATAGCTAAACCCAGGTGAAAAGATATGACAAATTTTTGGTAAATTTTCCATTTACCATAATAAATGTTAGTACATACAAGGATACAGTGCAAATATTTTCTAATAGCAGATTTTTCCAGTGGAAATAAATAGTTTTTCTGGCATTTTTTGTGTGGCGGTGACAATAGATAATGTGATCTGGTGTTAATTTTTTAATGTGATCTTTATTATATGTGATGCACATATGGATATAGTTCAGAAAAAACACATTTTTGTTACACTTTGGAGTATATATTTCTCTTTGGGTGACTTGGAATTAGAGTTTTGTGAAGAGTTGGTGAGTTTTTTTTTATTTAAAATTTTTATTTTCCTTACATCATAATCACATTTATATATTAAAATTTAAACCCAAGTCTGTATTATCTGTAAAGAGCATGCATTTCCCTTTATTTCCATACCAAACTTAACATTTTCTGATGAAAAACAAAAAAGTTGTGATGGTTTAGAGATAACATAGTAGTGTTTAACAAATATGCAAAATAGATAATTCCGGCAGAACTCGGAAATTAATTCCGGAGAGAAAGAGTTAAGAGCTAATATTTGAGAGGGGGGAGGGGGATATTTATTTCCATTAACGACTTTTTAAAAAAAACTTCCAGTGGTACCGACAAAAGATGAGTTGTTAAAAGTTGAAAAGGTTTCACCTTTACCAGCCAATCGTAAGTACTAAATTTGTAAATAATAAGCTCTCTTTTACCCTAAAATTTATTTTCTGATTCTTTTCCAATGAGTTTAAAATGATTATTGGTAAGTTGGTTAGTTTGAAAGAATGTTTATCAATTGTTTTTGTAAAAAAACATATTTTTTGCTCATGACTTTTAGGAGGAGTTCACGCCTTCACCGTCTTTTGTCGAGATTTTGGTGAGCAGGTATGTAAATAACTGTATAAGATTATCTTTGAATGAATCTCTCTTGTCAGATGTGAATAAAGAGCCAATTAAGCTATTCAATTCTCATGCACTAGAGGCTTGTCAAGGCCTATTTTATGTATTATTTATTTCATATTTCAACTTGGCCATTTATTTGAATGTACAATTTGATCCAGAAAATTCAACTGTCTGTGGGCAATGGAAAGACTGCCAAAAACCAGTTTCCTGTGACGGAGACAACATCAATCAAGTAATAAAGTTACTTCTCAATTTTAGTGTTATTTAAACTCCTGTATATAGCAACATAACGAAACTGGGTATAAACTGGTTGTCACAGAACGGTTGTTGCGCCGCAGGGCTCGGGTCCTGACTTATCACAAACTGTATTGATTTAGTATTGGTTAGTACAGGACCGCTCCTCTCTGTGATCATATGTTGAGTGTCTAGGCGTTGGGACAGACAAAAAGCGGAACGTAAACTTTAATGAAATCCAAACAACTCAACTCCAAGTGTCCAGATGATATGTTTGTCTCCTGATGTTATGGCAATAACCTAGAATTACCATTTCGTGGCGTGCCCAATCCAAACATCTGAGGCGTTCTTTGCGTCTGCCATGTACAAACAGAACACTCTGAAAATTGTTAACAGCTAACTACTTGCCTATCCCCAAGGTCTATTCTTGATTTACAGCTATGAAAACTAATTCTGTCACTTCCAGAAGACTATCCACAAATTTATAACCTTTTCAAACCAATCATCATATCCCCTTCTTCTCCCCGGAAATGCGCCTTAGCTCATTCAATATCCAGCTAATGTGGTACGATCCTTGGGGAAAACCAAAACAAAACAGCATCATTACGCACTATTGAGCTCTGTCCCGTACCCCCGCCACAGTCATTTATGACATTGGTGAAATGAACTGCATGACAAATGCATTAATGTAAGCCTTGCTGTAGCAACTTTGCAAGCTAGATATTAATATTTTTCAAATTATTAATTTCTTCTACCTTGAGCCAGTGTTTCATTGAATAAAAATAAGTACTCCTTTTCAATATTTATTTTAAGATATGGCCCCTAAAATACACTGGTGGTGTAATATTTATTTTGTTGCTTTTCTTTGTAAAAAAATCGCTGTGTTAAATACATAAAGAATTGTTTATTGAGTTTTTTCATGAATCGTTTGCTTGACTAATGCTTAAATTTTCATTGCCTTTATAGATTTATCTGTGCCCGGCCTGTTGAACTCCATCTTCAACCTGTCATTAAACTAAATCACCAGTTGCCCCCCTGTCCTGTGCACCATGAGAACGGCTTACCTGTAAGTGGTGAAATTTCTCGTTGGTGTTAGATTCATATGATCCATTTAAAGATTTATGTCTAATTTATCACATCTCTAAAAAAAAAAAAAAAATAACAGCCAATCATTTGTTTTTTTCCCCAGATACCAGTACATTATGGGAGAGACTTGGATGTGCTTGTGAGCGTAACTGATTCCAGTGGGCGTCAGTTTCACAACTTCTCATCACTCATGATTCAGTGGACTGTGTCTGCTTCCAACTTGGGAGAAATAGTTTATCCCAAAGAGCTGAAGACTCATGTGGATACTCAGCAAGATGGAAGAAAGCTTTTATCGAGTATGTCTTTTCTGTTCAACCAGTTAGTGGAATAATGTTAATAATTCGGTAATTTTTAAAAAAAAATTTTAAATGCACACTTTTTTTTGTGTAAAAAATCTCTTTTCTACTTCAGTATTTCAAACTGTGAGGCCAAATAAGAAAACCGGTGACCTCATCATTACAGCGTCCATTGACAGATACAAAACTTCAGTTGCCAAGGTCTTTGGAAAACCAACTGTAAGAATAAACATAAGCTCAATTCATCTTGTTTCCCATAGATCAATTATTACTATTTGCACTGACTAGCCCAGAAAAGTATTGTCAAATCTCATAAATTAAACAAGATTTAATTTTTTTATCTTTTACTTATAAAGAATTTAGAATGAAAACATGGATAAAAATTATTTCAACACTAATCAATTTTCAGGAGCGAATATCTCCAGTGATCAGCAAGTCATTAGAGTTGTCATTAGTGGAAGAAGCCGTGCTGACACCTGCTTCTGTGTCAATCTTTAATCATCCCTCCAACAAGGTCAGTTCTTTTATTTTCTTATTACTCAAGAACATTAATTGTTTCCTCACACTACCTGATTTTTTAAAGATGTATGTTACGTGTTTCGCTGTCTCACTCTCTCTCTCTCTTTTATCTCTTTCTCTGCACCAGAAACCAAAAAAGAAATGCTCTATATTACAAGTTACTTACATATTTTCTCTGTTATTTTAGGTGACTATTGGGATCCAGCATGGTTCAGGCTACTTCTACCTGGAGCCATTGCAATCCCAAGTTTTAACTGCAAAGTACGATCAAAAAGGAAAAAGCATTCAGGTGAGAAATAAAATGGAGATACCTAACAAGAATCTTGGTTAATTATTGACATGTTATCCCCATTAGGAGTTAACCCTGTTGTGTTTCGCTAAAATGTTTGCAGTCTATTCTATTTTCTTGCTAATTATAGTGTCATTTATTTACCAAGTTAAATGTTTCAAAAAGTGAGTTATAAGGTTTCCTTTAAATAGCCTCATTTGTAATGGTAAATGTTAATGTTTTTTTTCCATTCTGCATACCCAAGTATGAACAGCCAAACTATGTTCAACAAATGCGCCAGCATTTGTTTGGGGTAATGACTGATACTTGGTATTAGTACATAACACTGTGGAATCACTAAATCGTCATCATTTTACAAAACGTTGTAAAAAAATCCCACCATATTTCACTTGACATCCAAGCACCTTGTACTTTATTGACATCTTTGTATGCCATAATTCTAGGTTTAGCTCTGTTTCCTGTTAACATTTTATTTATCTCTTAATGAGCTGTTTCTTTTTCTTTTCATTTATCTTTGCTGTTTCACTAGTTGTTCTTTTGTTTGTTGCTCAAGATGGTGTTAGGCTGATACTTTCCCTGTGTTTTTGTCTTTTAACAAGCTTTTCCATGCCAAAAGCTTCATATTACTTAATATAATACTGGATCAGAGTCTCCCCAATATTTTTTAGATGAATTATATATAGAGAGTATTTTTCTATTTTGTTTTTCTAGGTCACCCCTCATAAGGATGGCTCACAATCCTTTACTGTGTATGACCTTTGCCTTGATGTATCCTCTCACCCCATAGCCTCAATTTCTGTGTCTGGTGTTGGAAGTGTCCATATTATGGTTATTGACAAGGTAGGTCTATTAAATTTTTTTTTAAACTTTCAGCCAGGTGCTTTATTGGATTTGTTATTTTAAATCTATACAAGTTCCTAATTTGAAATTAGAAGATGCAAACATTGTAGGACATTTTATTTTGCCAGCCATTACTGGCTTAATGATGATAAATTTTAGGATCATCTCTTTGAAGCATATTTTTTGTGTTATATTTAGATACTTTCTTAATAAATGGAATCATAAAATCATTACTTAATACTTAAATATAAATTGCTGGACCATTCTGTTACAGGTTGAAGTATTAAAAGAATTTAAAGCCAAAGTGCAAGTGCTGGATTTGAGGGGCAAACCCCTTCTTGCAAGTTTTTTCTCACTTATGGGGCTTAAATTGGAGGCAGCTTCAGACATTCTTACGCTCAGGTAATTTTGATACTTAGTATTTCTTTATGATTTACCTCATCACTGTACGTCCTCATCCAAATCATACAATTGCCTCACATCTCCTTTGTCAAAAGTTAATATGCTCATAGAATGTAGAATTTAAAAAAATACAGATCAGCTGCTCCTTCTGTGAGACTTGATTGCTCATAATAATAGTAAAGGGATTTGACTTCCTCGTTTTTTTTTTTACTACCATGGACTCTACTTGGTATAACAGAGACATATCCTTGTTACGCGTCTTTGCATTTTCATTTGTTGTTTTTTGTTTTTTAACTGTTTGTAATTTAAGTAGTGAGGTTTTGAAAACGAATTTTCTGTTTTAGAAAAGTGATTTAATCTAATTTTATTTTTAGAATACATTCTCCAAGTTATCCAACTGCTCCTCAAAACACTTTCCATCTACAAATATAATATTGCAAGCAACAGTTGACAAATAATCAGCTGAAAAAGTAACTCTTTTTTCACTATTCCATTTGATACAAATCACCAGTTTTGTACCAACCCTTGACCAATACTTTCAGTATTCAAAAATTCCTAATTTTCATCCATATTTCTAAATCTAGGCCACAGCACAGTGACTCGGGAGATAGTGTAACTGGTGTTTACACAGTGATTGGAACCCACGTTGGCCACACCACTCTTACAGCAAGTGTTAGGCTCCCCACTGGTCAAGTTATATACAGCAGCCCTAAGCCCTTGGAGGTTTTCCCGCCTTTGAGATTAGAACCCAAAAACATTACCTTGATCATTGGGGCAGTTCTTCAGGTAACTAGATTTTTATAGTCTGTGATTTACTGGGGTAATGTTTAATTAATTCAATAACATTATACTTAAAATGTTTGCATTACTATTTATTTGCAACTGTCCCTACTGATTTTAACATTTACTATTCTAGATTTAAGCAAATAATGTGCCAATAAATTTCAAATCTACCTATTGGGTTTTATTGCCTGTTTCCATATAGTTCCCATGCATTTCTTGTCAAATAACCAGAATATGTATCAATTAATCAGCTAATGGACTTATTGTGCAAACATTTATAGAAGAAAGACAAAAATATGTATTTCATCCTTTAACCCTTTACAGTCCGATGCGCCCGAAATGCGCCGATTTTTTCCTTAAGCCTACAGTCCGATGCGGCCGAACCCGCCCGTTTCGAGGTGTTTACTTTCGTTCTTAGCACAGCGGAAATCCATTGCGCATTACTATTTATAGTTCTACCGGAAGAAAGCCTCGTTGTCGGCATTTATTTCGATACTAGTTTGACCGCGGTGTGTTTAGGGGCTGATTTTCTATGATTTTTTTAAAAGTCGCGATTTTTTCGCTGTAAAAAATGGCTATCTAAGCCTTGGATACACTTTTGAAAGAACTTAGGCCTAATGAAGCTTCACTATTTCATGAGTGGGAGGGTCTCTGAAACTATTTTTAGGTTTAACTTTTGCTTTAATCATTTCTTTGTATTTAGGTAGTTTTTATTTTATTTTGTTGCTTCTAGTTTATTTTCTGTAAATTAATTAGATAAAGAACCTTCATTTAAAATGGAGTTATGTCCCTTTGCTTGGGCGCTGGGAGTAGACAAGGCTGAATAGGTTTGGACTGTAAAGGGTTAACAACAAGCTGCATTGAATTCTACATTTAGAAGTGGCCAATGAATTAAATATATTGGTAATTGAAACAAGGGCTCGCCAAAGAAATCATGCAGGGCACAAGAGGAGGAAGACAGACAAAAATATAGGAAGATAACATAAAGAGTGGACGGGTCTAAAACTAGGCGAAGCTGTGCGAAGTGCAGAAGACAAAGATGATGGAGGAGGATGCTTTACATGTCATCTGTGGCGCCCCAACGGTCCAAGGACTAAGGGACATGATGATGATGATGAATTGAAAGACATTGCCCAAAAGCCGTTTTATAGAGGAAAGCACCAATTAAAAAATATATAACTGATTTTTGAATTTGTTTCTAATTCCCAGGTGCTTGCATTTGGAGGACCTCAGCTACAGAGTAATGTTGAGTTCTCCGTCCAAGACAGTCGTATTTCAACGGTAACAGGTGGGGGCATTCTAGACGCCCTAGATATTGGAAGCACCAAAGTTATTGGCAAGTCAGTTGGCACCGATTCTGTTACAGGAGAGAAAGTCATCTACTCTCAGGTTGGTGACAGAACTAATGCTTGCATGACAAATTCTTTCACAGGAGTCTTAACTTAAAGTTTCTCTGCACCCTTTGTGTTTGGTCTGATGGTAGAATTCTTAATGTCTGAATTGGGGGGGGGGGGGGGGTTTACAAACTTGATGTGATTTTTGTGTAAGATAGAAGTTACATTTATGAAACAAATTTATAAAAAAAGTTACACAAGTGTCAGGAATTTGTAATGAATTAGCCTTAGTAAAAAAATCTAGGTTCCTTTTTCTTAACTTCACTTACCAGATTTGTATGCTTTCAATAGGATGATGCTGTTGTGAATGTTGTCATTTTAAGGGGCATTAGGATACATGCTCCTTTGACCAGACTTCAAGCGGGAACACAGGTTAGAAGAAAGCAAAACTTACACAGTTTGATCAGATTTGTTTAAAAAAGTCAATCATAAATTAAATCATTAAATTGCAATGGCATTTGTTATGTACCTCAATTAGTTTTTAAAAATTTGATCCTTGTTTTAAAATGGCTCGTTAACCAAACAGTACATAACAAACTGACAATGCCATTAATTAAATATAATAAAGAAAGAATGATGTCCCAACTAGTGCTAATCTACAAGCAATTTATTTATACTATTAATTTAGATATAAGTATAGAAAATCTAAAATAAAAGTTCTTCAAACTTACAGCATGTGACTACGTATAATAATAAAATAAAAATATGAATCCACACACACAATGAAATTCTTGTAGGTCTCATAGTCTTGTATCTCTCATAACTCTTGTATCTCCAACGTCTGGTACAACTTATTTATAGTTTAGGACAGAGGCGTTTCTAGAATCATGTTATGTTTAGGAGGGCAAGTGAGAATTATCCATCCCTATTTAGAACCCTTTAGTCAGTTCAAGAGAAGCAGCGGTTGAATGATGACCATCCCAACAAGGACAATTTAATAGGTTTTGGCGTTTTTAAAAAAAAGGGTGAATTGAGGATGATGACTTAAGCTGTTTTAGCCTGCATGCTCACAGTGCTCTAATGTCCTCAAATGTATTAAAAGAAAAAAGTCTTTAAATGTTTCTTAAATAACTCTATGGTACAACTCCATGTTTAGCCAAAATTGGGTCATTAAAGTCTACACACACGACTTGGCTGTAACACATTAAGGAAATGTTACTTCAATATTGTTGGAATCTTAAACCATTGATTATTCCCCAGACATTTGAAATGCAGGGGTTATTTGTATTTATACATAGATGTGTGCTCAAATCACAAGTTAATGTACAAGTCAGGAATATCTTGGATGGTTTAAACTTTATATGAGTGTTACATTTTAGCAACAACACTATTATATGCCAGGAATCTCACCTTTCTGCTATCTTTGTTTTGGCTCCTGCTCTTAGAGACGAAAAAATTTCTTGCCAATAAATCATAGTGGATCTTTTTAAAAAAGCTTTGGGAAGGCCCCGTCTAAAATGGCTGCTTTTAATATTTAAAAAAAAAGAGCAAGAGAAATGTAATCCTGGCCAATGTATCTTTTAAGTTTAAGTAAAATCATTTCTTCTCCAATAGATGCCTGTGTATGCTATGGGCTTGACCGACCATGAAACACCATTTGCTTTCGCCAACTCTATTCCACCTCTGATTTTTACTTGGTCAGCAAACAGCAGGGATGTGTTACTGCTGCAGTCAGTATACCATAAGGTGAGATGAGAATATTATTTTTTTTTTAAATGACAAAGTTTGGCATATTTTTGAAAATCCTATCATAGTTAAACTAAAAATAGCTGAATAAGCTTTAAGATAAGAAAAAGAAAACATAATGTTTTTGGACATAATATTACAGGATGTGCAAACAATTATTTTAAAACTTATAAAAATAATTTTTTAAAGCAATTTAGGGGGAAAATGTAAACCTAACTTGCAATGGAAAATGTTTTGTTTCTGTCACCCTTTAGAGTGGAATTCATACACCCCAAGAAAACAACTTTGCGCAACAAGCTTTTGCCAGAGAGACAGGTTTTGCCAACATTAAGCTCAAAGTTCAAACAACACCTCAAAGTAGACTGCAGCTTCATGGAGACTTATTTCAGGATGAAGTCCAAATCCATGTTTGTGTTTTTAGCTATCCAAATAAATAGATATAACATTGAATTAGAAGTCAAGTATATAATGCTGGATGTTTACTAATAACAAATTATTGACCAGCATCTTTAGGAACTAAATTTGTTATGAAAAAAACTAGCAGGACTTGCCATTGAACTGATGTAATTCGTAATTAAATTTTTGATTATTTCTCAACGCTTGTGTTTCCAGGTATTTGAAAAATTGGCATTGTTGAACCCAACAGTGTGTCATGATCAAATTAGGATCACACCTAACACTGATACCTTCTTCAAGACGAATAGGTGCGTATGGGACACTGAATTAAGTTTGTACATATCTTACTTCATTTAATAACTAATAGGCATGTATTGAACTCTGAATTTGTTTAAACTAAATCATGTCTTCTTATGACTAGTAAGTGTTTTATGAATATATAGCAAAAATTCATTTCCTCTAATATAAAACTGAAACTCTCTCTTTACTGATTTTTCAAACACATGCATATCTCATTAATTAACAGAGATGTTGCTGCAAGAGTAAGGTATTTTATCATGGAAGACAGTTACGAGACGCCTGTAGTTCGTATATTGGACAACGGCCATTTGAGATCAGGACCTATTCCTGGAAATGCTTTGCTGCATGTAGTAGCTGAGGAGGAGTTCGGCATTAACCAGACACTTGTTATTTTGTTAAAGGTGAGTGTACAAATTATTAAACTGTAAAAATCACTGCTCTCATACATTGCATTATCTGCACATGACGCTAGATAACTGCTGCGGCTTTGTGAAATTCTTCACTAGTTTTATGTATATTTGAAAAACTGCTGGAAATTCATACTTCCTGAATATAAGTAGAATGGGTGATACTGAGCACAGCCCTAAAAAAAATGTATTTCAAATGTGCAGGTAAAGCCAGTTTCCTACTTGATGATAAACTCTGATACAGCCATCCTGACGGCATTGCCCAACCAGCTCCATGCTGTGCCCATAGGAGCCACCCTGCAGTTTTCTGTCCGCTACCATGATGATGTTGGAGATCAGTTCTACGCCACCAACATTCAGCTGGGCATTCGTTGTAGCAGGTTGGTAAAATTTTTAGATGCGTGTGATGTTGACGGAAGTTCAAGAAGCTGCGTATGTGCATGTGGAATGCTGTGGAACACTATTTGAAGCTCTTGGTCTTTGGTAGTTAGAAGCTCTAGAACTGTTTGTCATATAAATTTTTATTAATTATTGCTGCCATAACACTAATAAAAGTTGGCAACATTAGGAATATTGAGGCCTCAAAGTAATGTTCAAATCTTTTCTAATTACCAGATATGATTTGCTTCATGTGTCGAATGGTGCAGATAACAACACCTTGGTTGTACGTGCAGGAGAGATTGGTAACACTGTACTCAAGGTAAGAGTATATGGATATATAAGGGCTTCCAACCCCGGGTTCATGATACCCTCGCTGAGTAGCATTGGAAACCAGTAAAATATCCTCTTCAACACCAGGCACAGAAATATTGCAAATTCCATCTGCATCCATAGGAGCCAGAATGATCGATAAATTGATCGTGGGCCCTTAATATATAGAAGAAGAACTGAGATTTGTCAGTGTGTGTGCTACATTAAGCTAATCTACAGGTTCTCACACTGTGTTACAGGAAATTTCAAAACAGATGTTTTTAACACTTATTTCATTCAATATAGCTACCTTATAACATTCGTGTAGACAATTGTAGTCAGTTCAAGTTTTCTGCATAGCGTTATAGTTTCCTTGAATATGGCAAGCATTCCTATGGAAAAACAGGATTTGGTTTAAAAAATCTGCTGGAACTCTTCTGATGTGGAATTTAAAATGTCACTCACTGTGGTTCCTTTTCAGTTTTAACCTCCATTTGTTCCTAGCTATTTCTAGAAGAATTAATTTTTAACACTTCTTTATATCAAAGAATGGCGAGAAACATATTAAATTTTTCCATATAACATAAAGTTAGCTGAGCATTTAGAAGCTTGATACCATTCAAGTGCTGAAAGAATAAAGTCGTTTGTGTAAGGTTGGAGATATATATTCTAAGAAATTAAAAAATTATTGAAAGCCTACTTTATGCAAATGTGTTGGAAGTTTGGGAATTGCATGGTTGTAATATGTGTGTGGGGGGGTGGGGGGGAGGGCTTGAAAGTAAAAAAATGCTTGCTGAACACATCAAGTCCTACAGCAAATTAGTTTAATTTTTGTAATTCTAATGGTATATTCATTTGTTATGCCAAAGACTTAAGAAATGACAAATTTTGAAGAACTTAAAATTCCAGTTACTGAAATCCATTTCAACCCATTTAATTTTTTCTGTAGGTCTGGGATAAACACAAGCCATCTATGGCTGATTATGTCAATATTCCTGTTGGGCATGCTATTTCACCAGCACAGGCAACCATCATACTTGGATCCATTGTTTGCTTCAGTTCACACATCATCACAGAGTCAGGTAGGTCACAGCGCAGCGGTGTTTTCACCCTTTTATTTGACCTTACAACACATGAAATGCTAGAAACTGAAATTCTGTGATAAACGGTGTCCAATTAAACTATGATGATAGATTAGAAGGGTTGTAGGTTCCAATCTTACTTTCTCAATAATCTTTTTCTTTCATTGATTTAGTCTGATTTATATAGATAGACATCTATCAAATGTGCAATGACATCTGTGAACCTAAAGAAAACTCATGAATTGAGAAGTGTTGAGCGTACCAGATGATAGTTCCATTCTTTTTTTTCATCATCTGTTTATAATTCAATAATATGGAAATGGTACCAAGGTTATAGAATAATCTGTGGTTTAACTTTCTGAAAAGTGGGACATTTTTCTTCAAATTTTGAAGTCATGAGGTTTTTGTTGTTTTTTTTTTTTGTTGGTTTTTTTAAATTTTTTTTTTTTTTTTTTTTTTTTTTTTTTTTTTTTTTTTTTTTTTTTTTTTTTTTTTTTTTTTTTTTTTTTTTTTTTTTTTTTTTTTTTTTTTTTTTTTTTTTTTTTTTTTTTTTTTTGGTTGTTTTTTTTTTGTTGTTTCTTTTGCAACTTCTCTAGTGCAGTTGTTTTTTTAACTGTTTACATCTGCGGACCAGTGAACATAGGAAAAATAATTGGGGTATGTCCAATTAAAATGTAATCTCATAACCAATTTTTTAATTCTCTCCCCTTATTGTCACACAGCTTTAAAAAAAAAAAGAGCCTTTCAAAAAGATGCCATTAAATTTTTGACCTGACAACATATTTTCATGTTTTCAATCCCTAACGAATTGTTGTAGTCGGGCTGAATATGATAAACTACCAAAACCTTTATAATATAATTCTTAACTTTGAAAACTCCAAGTTGTATTAAATTTTTCCCAAACAAATGACACAAATGTACAGATACACTGGCAAATTTTGATGCCTCAAATGTTACATTTGACCTGCGGATTCCCAAGGTTGCACCAGTTTTCCCCTATCAGCTATAGCTTTATAGATATTGAAAATATGTCATTTTAAAACATGAAGCATTATGGTAATTATTTAAACAAAAGTGTGGTGTTCTGGTAGTGTTCGTTGCTGCATCCATATACTGGCATCTGTGCAACGGTTGGGGAATGGTGTTGCTAGTCTAACAGCTCCTAGCAGATGCCAGGGCAGCCTTGAAGCTTTCGACTGATTTAGAGTTCACAGTGGCATTGTCCAGGTGGTTCCAAGCTATTGTACATGGAAAGAAAGATTGTTTATACTGCAATGTGTTGCACCGAGGCACAGTGAAGCATTTGCTATTGTTTTGGTTGTAATTGTTTATGGGGTTGTCAGTGGGCTCTGATCAATCGACCCGGCTTCTGTTGGGGTGAGGTACGTGCCTGCTGGGATGGCCGGCACCAGTCCCATGACCACTTTATATATGAATATCAGGCGGAGTCCCTCTCGTCTGTCTTTAAGGGAGGGGGGTGTCAAATCTTTTTAAGAGGCCAGTGACGAAGCCAGGAGTGGTGGATTTGTAGTCACGTGCGATAAAATGCACCGCGTTACTTTGAATTCGTTCCATCTTGTCCACTTCTTGCTTAAGGTGTGGGTCCCAAATGATCGCACCATATTCTAATAGTGGACGGACGATTGCGAGATAGACATTTCGTTTGCAGGAGGTTGGGCAGTGGCGCAGATTTCTTCTAATGAAACCTAGGGTGGAGTTGGCTTTTTTATATTTTTTTTATGGGGTGATCACTTTAGGTTATTTGAGAAGAGAATTCCAAGGTATGGATTATTTGATACTTGTTGGAGAATTGTCTCGTTTAGTGAGTACATATAGGTTGATTGTTTTTTTTCTTGATATGCTCATTGTGTAGCATTTGGTTTCATTAAATTTCATGCCCCATTTGTCCACCCAATTCATAAGGCACTTCAAATCCGTTTGGAGGTGGTTGTGGTCATCGTAGCCGTTTATCTCTCTGTAGACAAGACAGTCATCTGCAAACAGACTCACTTGAGATTTTTTGGTGTGTGAAAATGTAATTATTTTATAACAAAAGAGCAGACTTTCTGGAGCCATTGTATCATAAATATACACAAATGCAGCTCCTTTCATAAGACTTCATAAGATATGTTCTTGCAAGACAATCTCAAATAAGATTCCAATAAAAAATCTCCATCATGTGTGCATTTCATCAACCTTGTTATCTGGCTGCCATATCTGGTGAACTCTTTCATTTCACTCTTCGCATAAGGACCAAGTGACTGCAATATAGTTTTTTCACAACAAGAATAAATAGAGGATTAGATAAAGGAAAGAGGATTACATTTTATTTATTGTTTTTTTTTTTAAACGATGGTCATTTATGCATTTTCTAATTTGCTGACCATCAAAATTCCAGCTTTCAGTTCTTTTGAGAAGTTGATATTCGATGTGCATTGAATGCTTTATTCAAAGGATCTGCAAACAGTTTTATCAGGGAGACCTAGTTTTATATTTATTTGCAGTAGACTTATTTTTATCTTATTTTATTGGTACTAAAGCTTAATTGTTTACATTTTTCCTCCTACCACTGTATTTCCCTGAAAGGACAATCTTTGCATGCCAAATTTTCATGCTGTCTCTACTATCCTGTAATAAATGGAAAGCTAGGATACCCCTGTAGCCACTCTGTAAACTGGGAGAAAACAATTGTTTTTTAAGTTTAGACAAATCACCCAAAGATGAGGTTATTTAAAATAACAATTTATCTTTTCAAAGACTAAAGAGATGGCATGTATTTTCTTCATCCTGGTGATTGACCGTTTGGGAAAAGAACCAGATTTGTTGCCATTTATTTTAAAAAAACATTTCAAACTACGATTTGACTGTGGAGGAAAAGACGGCACACACTTGACTTACAATGTGATAAACAAAATGTGCTCTTTAGGTTTCTGATGTCTCACACAATACTAAGTTCTTGTCTTTAATTTTTCTTTTAATGGTAGCATATACTTTTATCCCCTTTGATGAAATGTAGCCTTAAGTTTGTTTCAGTCTGAAGCACATTATTTTCCATAATGTACAATATGCTGAGTCCATGTTTATCTTGATCTCCAATCTTGGCACCAAATAACCCTATCATATTATGTTCTTTCTTTAAACTCGTACAGATTTCCTACATCTTGTAAATAGAATGTATATGCTGCTGTTTTTTAACAGATCAGCCTGGGAGCTTTAGAAAGGAACATTTATGCAGTCTAATAAGATGATGATTTGACATCTAACTACTTTGCACATGATTAGTTAATAAAGCAGAACAATGTCAAAATGTCAATGTGTATTATAAAAAGTAATTCTTTCTGCACACTCAAAATGTTGGTCATATAAATTCATTTATTTTACATTTAAATTAAACAAATTAATGATGTACTGATTTAGCAAAATTGACCTTATAGGGCTTAAATAGATGATGATAAGTTTTTATACATTGAATGTTATCTTAAAAACTAGAGCTGTAATGATAAATCCTATGCAGTTTTTTTTAAATCAGTGCAACAAATAACACTAGGAACCGACTTAAAACTCAAGGTACCAAGAAAAGGGTATTTTTCATGTCTTTTATTATAGTAAAACAATTTTAATAATACATTTATATTAAAAATATAATTTTTTTAGCATTTTATTTTCACTCTTTTTTTAAATATTCAAGTTTCCTTTAACAATAACAGTCATTCCTTTATTTACCAACCCTTTTTTTTTTCCTAATACTTTCAGGTTTTTCTGGTTCATGGTTGTCAAAATCAGTTTCTCTAGACATTGAAGAGAACTCTGGGATAAGTATTGCCAAGTCTGTAGGACGTGCCATGGTGACCTTTGCATTTTCTCCTCTGACATCAACTAAAACTGAGGTGGGGGAAATCTCTAACAAAACTTTTTAAACATATTTGAATTAAGACCTTACTGTTAGGGAGCTTTGTAATGAAACCCCAGAGGAAATCTGAAGGTTGATTGCCAAGTGTCCATTTCATGAGAGCATTAACATCTTGAGCTGGTTTCTCAAGGAACGGCAATAGAAACCAGTTAGTTTCATCTTATTTCAGATGAAGCCATAGAAACCAGTTAGTTTCATCTTATTTCAGATGAAGCCATAGAAACCAGTTAGTTTCATCTTATTTCAGATGAAGCCATAGAAACCAGTTAGTTTCATCTTATTTCAGATGAAGCCATAGAAACCAGTTAGTCTCATCTTATTTCAGATGAAGCCATAGAAACCAGTTAGTTTCATCTTATTTCAGATGAAGCCAAATGATCATAGGAATTAGTGCTGACGTTAGATTTTGTTTAAAAAAGTTTTAAAAAATAATATTTCAAACTTGTTTTAATTGACTAAATCACATAGTTACAAATAAAAATAGAAGATTGATGGGTTAAAAATAAAATGTTGAGTACTGATACTAAGTAAAATAAATTCTTTGCATGTTTTTCTTCATTACTTTATTAATGTTTGTTTCGGGCGACAAATGCTGTTAACTGAAACGTTAGCTGTTTTGTTGTGTTCTGTAAAATTTCACAGTATTTCCTGCATTTTTACCTGAGTCTTTTATTGCCATGCAAGCTTAGTTCCTAATAATAAGAATCAACCCAATGTGGACATGTTCAAAATCATGTTCCTTAGAATTCAAGTACTTAAATTTGTTCCATTCCCCATTGGGTACAGCTATCATCAAAGTTGAGAGATTATGAATATTTTAAATAAGAGTATGATCAATTTTTTTTTTTTGTGGTTTAATTAATAGAGCACTGTAATTACCTTTTGTGATTCTGAAATTTTGCAAAAAGTATAATTCATATTTAAATTTTTTACTTTGTATTTTTAGGTGATGATTGAACCCATTAAGTTTATCACTATAGACAGAGGACTTGGCTATCTCACCAACTCAGCAGTGAAAGGAAAAAATCCTTTCTTTCAGATTTCATTTAGTGATGGTGGAAATGTTGTTGGTAAGAGTCGTAATAAAATTTTGCTGTCTTCAGAAATGAAGATTGAATGTTTTATGTGGACTAAGTTTTTAATTATATTGGTAAGGATGCCACACTACACAGACTGAGCTCATTTCGTTTACCTCTGTTGTCACAGAACAGCTATTATTGAAGAAGGTTTTTCATGTCTGTGATTATCTATGCTTTATTTTCCAGGCTCACGAAACAATATACTTTTCTCTATTTCCCACTATTTTGTGAGACTCTGGCAGGCAAAACGAGTCTGCATTTTGTTGTCCTCTTATGCTATCATTATGGGAAAGGGACATGATTCTGTTTCTATTTCTCAGCCATGATGATCATTGCGTTTCTCTAAAAGCTTCAAACAACCACCGCCATGTAGATTGCAGTCACTTTTTACATTTTGAAAAATATTGTTCTCATTAACTAAATCTTGATTATATATGTTTCTTATAATTTCTTTTTCAAGGACCAAACTGCAGTTCGGTCATTGCAAGAACCAAGTTTTCTCCATCATTTATTCCTTACCTGTGCCATCTTGAGTTCACGAACAGAAATCAGGATCTTAGCATACAAGATCTTTTCGATGTCAAACCTCATTTTGACTCGGAGAAAGGTAATACTGTCATAATATCTTAAATAGAAAGTTAATTTTTTATGGCATTCAAGCCTTATTAACACTGTCCGGGGTGAATTCTAGCAAGAAAATATTTACACACTTTTAACTGCTACTGATAAGCCAATATGGGTATCCTTTAAAACTTAGCGGCAATACCTCTCCACAATTGTAGGACTTCACGGCTGTCAAGTTCTTCTGGCTCCATCAGAACACCCTGTCCAACAGGTGGCCACATTTGAAACTGGTGTCGTATTGAGTGCCCGTGTTCCAGCATCGCCTGGTCAAGCGGAGGTTGAATCCACTCCCGTCTCTCTCAGTTTCATTCCAGCATTTCATGTGCAAAACTCGGAGCTCCACCTGACCACAGCATCGCGTCAAGGCTTTATCCGAGTTGTGTCAACAGCTAATGTGATTCCTGACATTGAGGTATGTCCTGAACAAGAGCAAGTTATTATTTCCTCCTGCTTTTAAGCACTGTAAATAAAAGCATAATTAAATTAGGATAATTTAGCAAAGCAAGCCTGCCATAACCCACTAGGAATAAGATTGAGTCATGAGAACAAATCTTTGTAATTGCTGTTCAGACATTTCCGATAATTAATTAATAAAATTAATTCATATTATCAGTATCTAAATTCGGTTGCTGAAATTAGTTTTTGCTTTGCTGTGACAAAAAGCTCTAACATTGAATTTTACTCCTAACTTCAGATTAACGTCAGTGACCACATTCTTCTCCAAGCACTTACCCCGGTGAAAGACTCAAGTTCTAGCAATATTATTCAGTTCCCAGTACAGCTAATTGACTCCCTGACATTATGGGATAGAGAACAGCTTGACCTCTCTATAGATGTCTCACACAAACTGACAGGCCATAAAGTTCAAATTCCAGTATTTGTCAAGCTCATCGGACAGAAACCATCGATACCTCGTAAGTATTTTTACCAACTTTTTATTTACTTCAAGTGTTTTTGAAATGGGTTTTATAACTCTTTGATCTCATTTATCTGCTTATGCTGAAATGCTACAGAACTGAAATTTGGTACATGACTCTGAATGACCTTTTAATTTTTCTAAATCTGAAGGATGCTACATTTCTAATTCTGAAATATGTTTAGTTATAGTTACGAACTGGTAGTAAAAACAAAATGGAGTTATCAAAGCAATGACTAGGATGCTAATCAAGTCATAACTTCTGTCACAATTGAACATTGGCCTGTTTGCACATCACAGTAGGATATTACAAGTTTGCAAGCTTGCAGGTTAATATCAATACAAGAAAGTAGGCAATTAAGCTCAAGACAATTTCTGTCAATTTGAGATTATAGGGGATAATGTTAAATGTCATAACTATTTTGTTTGATTTAAAGGTGATAACTCAAATTATACAAATGTTGTTTTCACTCTAAGATAACCGCCAAGCGCTGAGCTGGTCCACACTCATAAATTCTACCGTTAGCAATTACCAGTCTTGGTTCGTCATCTGTTTAATAGTACTACTTACAGCAGCGACTGTCCTTGGGGGTGAGGCCAATTGTTTTTATTGCATCATTATATTATGTTCTTAATAAAATGAATTCATCTTTTAAAATCTTTTACTAAGTTTAACAGTGACTATTAATTGATTCATTAACCAGGTCACTTTCAACTCATTCCCTGCGGTTGCGACTAAATATGACCTTAGGAGGGTTCCTACTGATGTGTCCCGTTAAGTCCTGACCCATCTCTATTATTCTTATTCAAAAATAGCAATGAAATAATGTGTCCTCAAGACAACTGGGGTAAAGGCGTGATTTCTATTTTAAAAACGTTTTTTTTATCTTCTTTCAATCTAGGTGTTCTTTTGTAAGGTTCTTTCATCTCTTTGTCGGAGGTGCTAAAAATAGATATATTTTTTTTTTGGTTATTTATTTTTTTGCCGTTTAATTTATATTTGTATATTACTTAAGCCTAATTCATTTCCGTTCCGGAAAGTTGAACAGCAAAGGGAATGAGTTAATTTATTGATTTAGTTGTGACTATCATTTATTATTTAGCTGCCAATGGTATACATAAATTTGTAAAGATAGATAATGACACCAATATTAAATTTATGATGAGACAAAGTAAATTAATTTCTAATTTGCAACAGTGATCTTGCTAATGACTAAAATATTTAAAATGTACAATTTTTCAGGTTATCATGCATTTATCGCACCCCGCTACAAGGTTTCATCCAATCCAAATGTATTCATTAACCGGAACACACCCAGTCCCTCTCTATCCCCATCTTTTAAACAGCAGTCCACACCCATAGGTAAATAAGACTATTTTGTTTTTGTCGAAGTTTTTTACTTACATATTAAGTTTCATTCATAATTTATAAGATAAGTCATAAAATGAGTATACGAATTCTGGATTTTTAAAGAAAACAAGGTCTTCAATGGACCAATTTTATTTATATCCCTGTACCTTACCTTTTTTTTTATTTCAAAATTTCAGCTTCGCCATCTTACACAGGCAGGTCATCACCAACATCCCCAAAGTTATGGTCGCTGCCTTATAACCAGCAAGATTCAAGGACTCAATCTCCATATAAAAGGAATGCATATCTCTCCCCAAACTCTTGATAGTTTTTTTTTTTTTTTTCATTTCTTTCAGTATGGCAAATGTGGGGGTTAGAAATGAGAATCAAAAATATTATAACCAGCAAGATTCAAGGACTCAATCTCCATATAAAAGGAATGCATATCTCTCCCCAAACTCTTGATAGTTTTTTTTTTTTTTTCAATTTCTTTCAGTATGGCAAATGTGGGGGTCAGAAATGAGAATCAAAAATATGTCGTTTTTGAGGATGTGAAGTGCTGGTGAATGTTTATGAATGAGAACTGAGTGGACTGAGAGGCTCTGATGTTATTTCACCATGAATGTTGGTTGACTGTTTTACTGAGACGATATTCCTGCTTTTAAATGATTTTATGTGAAATAACTTTGCAAGTGTAACAAAATCATTTTTGTATCTCTTCACTTATTCCTGTGTTAAACCAGTGGTTCTCAGTGGTGGAATTACAGGAAGGGGGAAATTAAATACTCGGTAACCTTTGAGGGGCTCTATGATAACCGCTGCTGGATTTCAGGATAAAATTGTTATAATCACTGTATAGAAAACAATTTTAATGAAACTTTTCATTGTCAGAGAGGAAAGAAAAGACCTATGAACTAACTTTTAAACAGACTTGCAAGTGGCTATTAGCAATAAAAAAAATAATGAAAATATATGATTCTTCTTTAGAGGGTCCTGAAAAATATTCTAAATATTTATAACAGGTAAATTTGGGTGGGAATGGGGTGCAATGGTTGAGTTTATAGCATCAAAGGGATAGTGGACTGAATCAGAAAGATTTTGAGAACCACTGGTGTACATCATCCATTGAAATTCAGCTTCACTTTTTTTGCCTGTAAATGTATATAATTTGTTTGTCAGTTGACATAAATAGGTTGTGTAAAGTAAATGAGTGTGCTAGAAAACTGTATAGTATAAAATTAGTATAAAAGAAAGTTTCAAGTTGAGATTTCCTGTGTTTAGTTTGTATCCCTAGAAGTAGAGATATATAAAAAAAAAAAAATATTTGTGCAGCTTATCATTAAGTGTCCATTGTAGACAGACCGGAAGGTGAAAGTCCCCCATTCATTTCTTCAGGTGCAAGGGAATATATTATATCATTTTTATGTCTGTTCCTTGCTAAAAATCTCTGGTACTTATCTAGTAATGCTACCAGAGTAGTCAGGTGAAACAAGATGTCATTTTTTCAATGATAAAATTAAAATTTAAAAAACTGTACCAACTAGGTAACTATTTATTTTATGGTCAGTTGATTTTTTTGAAATATGAAATTTTATCAGCAAATTGTTTAAATTTATATCATTTTTGTGCTAAAAGTCAATGTTGCATGGAGCCATTTAATTGTTTTGGGTATAGTTAAGGTCAAAGGTATTTTGAAATTGGCATAAATTTCATACCATAAAATGAGATCCAGCTTGCCAACCATTTTCTTCTTTACTGTTGCCTCATGTTATTTTTCCCATTTTAATAAAACAGTTCAATTCCATCCACCTCTCAGTTGTGACAATGTTTTTGTTATTATTGTCTTTATTTGAGGAACCCTATGGTAAAAATAGACTATATATTATACTTTCTGGATTAATTAAGTTGGGGAATTATTTTATCTACACATACAATAGCAAGGTTCACACTGTTGAAAAGAACCTTATGCCACATTTTTTTTAGTTTACTTAAATTAGAAGTATTACATAATCCTTGTGGTAACTCTAATGTTCCACAAACCCTATGTGATAGATGGGAAAATAGAAAATTGGCCAAACAAACCCAAAATATGTACCCGGGTATACTGTATACTCAGTACAAACTTATCTTCATGTGAAGTTGACATGGTACAAAATTAAAAAATGTCCATGTCTAATTTTCACTCTCATGTAAAGTAGATTATCCATTCAAGATTAATAAATGAATCAAGGAGAAAACTTTATATCATACTATATTATATGTGGTGTTAAATTTCTCTTTTATCGAGATTTACTAATACAGGGTTCCAGATCACACTAAATTTTTCAAACAAACTAATAAAAAATTTTAAGGGACAGTCATTCTTTTTTAAGTTTATTTGTTCTTTTCAATGAACAAAAATATACAAAATAAGTCTTATAACAACAATATATCAATTAAAACATTAGATGATCAACTCTACAATGAAACTAACACCAGCATTATCTCCAATTTAGATTTAGTGCTCTACAAATTCAAGAATATTCAACATTAAGGGAAATTCAATGAAGAATGGCACCATATTATGCATACCGAGATTTAAGAATGATTTTATAAATGCATAAGGTTATTTGTATCATCTGTATATATTGGAGTACCCGGTTAATCAAAAACCATATTTTAATATTAATCACATTGATTTTAAGTTAAAGATGATCAATTGGATTATTTAATGTTAAAAATATGCTGAACTCAAGTGAGTTAGATGCTGGTTAAACAAGATTGGGGGGAAAAAAATGCTCTTAAATAGGCTAGAGCAGTGGTCGGCAAACTCATTAATCAAAATCATCAGCAGGATGATTACAAAAATTATGACAGCCTAATTTCTTGTCAAGAACCATGTTTTTCGGAGTCAAAGCAGATTTGTGGCTGGCTGGCCGAGCTGTACTCAGGTTGCTTAACATACCCATGCGGTTCGCGAGCCATGATTTTCCAACATTGGACTAGAGCTTTTGGGTGGATATTGAAAAAAAAAAGGATAGAGTGATTTTTAGTTAAGTTTAAAATAAGCTCTGGGAAATAGTTCAGCGACTGGATTAGTTTTAAACTGACATTTTTCAATTAAACTGTCCCTGACATTTCTTTCTTTTAGATGAATCAGGGCTATAAATTATACATTTTTTTTGCAATAGGTCTTTTTTAGGTTTGACTTGCATGGTTTGGGCTATATTGTTCAGTTTACCAAAAAAAATCAAATCTTAAATCAAAGAAAAATATTACCTATGACTATAACTGTTGAAAATAGCAGAAATGTACTTCACTGTTTGTCATACTTGTGGATCCTATAAAATGTATCCCATGTACTGCACAAAATCTTTAATGAGCCAAAGTCACTCCAGTTATAATTGCATATTTTACTTAAATATGATTCTACAATTGTAAACTTAAAAAAATTAAATAAAATGATATTTGTACAAAGTGCTGTTTTACTCAAAATTTCTTTTAAAAAACAATTAGCAATTAATTTTTGACAACATTAACAAAATCACACGCAGAGACAATTCAAGATGGCATTTCCCAATTAACAAAGGAGAGAAGAGCTAAAGATAATTAAAGACTGCTGGTATTTCCCTATTAACAAAGGAAAGAAGAGAACAAAACAGGTCTACTAAACTAATTGACAATGTTTGCAAAATGGATGGAATGCAACATCAGCCTATTATTACTATTATAACTATTGTTTAACATTAGAGTAAAGCAGAACAGAAATTTCATAGCATTTTAATACCGGTACATTACATCTGAGACACTGAATACATGAATCATGTTGAACATTACCATTAACAAAAATCAATGTTGAAAATCATTTGTAAATAAACTGACTTCACGGTGCAACATTCTTACTAACACTTAACATTCATTATATTCTTCTATACTTCAGAAGCATTCTTCGCTAGTATTGAATTTCCTTGAGAACGGAAATTTATTAATATTCTCTTATTCCAAATACATGTAAAATAAGCATATGTTCACACAGCTTTCAAACACTTTTGGGCTAGTTAATTGTCATCTCTGTCAAATGTATTAGAATCATCACCGACCTTAGGGCTTCTTGTTCTGTGAAGTGAAACAATAGAAAAAATATGTATTCATTTACTCATCACATGAGAATGGGATTATTGTAAGATATAATAAAGCCCAGATATTAACACTTATACTTATATGCACATCATGCATGGAATACAACAAAGAAACATTCACGTGGTTGTTTCCCTTTCATAGGGTGAAAATAAGGTTTAAGTGTAAGACAGTAAACTAACTTGTTTAAGATTAAGATGGAGAATATTTATTATTTTCACTTTGTTCATTTAAATATAGGCATCTGTAATAATTACTCAAGTAAGCATAATTAACTGTTGAATTATCTATAATGACACCTAAATTGCTATGAAATTAATCACTAGAGTCCATTTTTGACAACATTACTATTATAAAGTGTAAAAAAAAATAATTAAAAAATTAACAAACATCGGATAAACCCAAACTCTTAGTTTCTAAGATATGTATCACTAAAATTCCCAAAACTAACAAAAATTAATCGAGGTACTCAAATAAGTATAGTTATTCTGAGAGTAAATTTGAAAAGGAATCATATGATATGAATGTTGGAATTCTATTTGCTACCGGTATGTGAAAATGAATATGACTTTTCAACAGTGATTATAATTGTGCTACAATTTATCTTTCTTCAACTCACACCCACACTGACTGTTTAATCCTTTTATCATCAACATAAGTTTTCTAGACATATAAAACATTATTCTTTCAGTTTAGAGAATAAAGTTATTTGGGTTTAATGAAATTTTAACATAAGTTCATTTGTGACCTACATATTTATTTATATAACGCCTATTAAATTCATTAGTACCCTATTTACCACTTTTTCCTCAAATAGAACTTGAACTCCTACAAGTGACTATTTTAAATAGAGAGTAACATGAGTTATGCCAATGAAAGTATTTTCAAAATCACTTTCACAAGGTAATAATTCAAATAAATTAGGTTTTTGTTTTGCAGGGCAACATCTGAGTCCTACAAGTTAGTGTTAACACAAAACCTCCAAAAATGTCTGCTCAATTCAAAATTAAAACAAAAAATTGAACACAGGAAATATTTACCTTAGATTTCTATAAATAATAAGTAATTTTTTAGACTTATCCCCCTTTAAAAAAACTTCTGATTTAATTATATTAACTCAAGTTAAGGCCAACAGAAGCAGCCATAACGACCCATCCTCGACTGTTATGACAGTTAGCAGATTAAACAAGCCATTTTCAACTAAAAGTTGTGATTTATTTATTTGGAAAGGATGTTAACATGTTGTGGAAATTATTCATGAATTTTTCTTGTGGATATAAAGGTTAAAATCTGTCAGCACTTTGTCATCGCATGTATATAAAGTGCTGATCATTAAATTAAATAGATTCCAACAATCAATATTTTCAGAACTACTGCACAAAGCAAAAAACTGACAGGAAGAAATAATATTCAGTTTTTAAATTTCTAAACTTCAGGTAACAGAACTAAGAACATCTTTCTGTTATTAATGTAAAGCTTGATTTTTTTCTTGGAAAGATCATATGTGTGAATATTTTCCTGCATTATTTGCTTTAAGAAATCTTGCCATTTGAGTAGCAGATGAGTAAAATATTTGAAAACATCTTTAAATACTTATCTACTTTTTTTTCTTCTGTTACCAGTACTCTATTGGAAGTGTTTGGCTCTGAAGCAACCAAATTGGCACTACAAAAGAGTAGAAGAGGGGACCCTAATTAATCAGCTGGATTATTGTCCTTCTCTTTCTTTACCTGTCATTCTCTTCATCATTGGCAGCCTTTTTTAGTGGAGGTGGACTGCCAGATGAACTGTTGTCACAATCACTGCCACTCCTCTTTCTGCTTCGAGCGGCTTGCTCCTGAGTATTGTCCTCACTCCCACTTCTTCTATCTACACTTGTACTTCTCCTTTCTGCACTGCTGCTTCTCCTGTCCACACTTGCACTCTTTCCTTGAGCAGGACTGCTACTTTTCATCTTGTCACCACCTGCTTTCCCATCTACACTCTCACTTCTCCTGTCCCTGCTGCTCTCAAGCTTTACCTCATTGTTCTCTTTTCTGTCTTCCCTGCTGTCAGTTTGATTTCTATCAACACTCCCACTTTTTCTATCATTCTTAATATCACCGTCCCGATCGATCTTCTCAACTCTATCTCTGTCCCGGCTTGTACTCCTATCCTTGCGATCCCTGGCATCGCTCCTGTCACCTCTATCTCTGCTTCTGTCTCTGGCTGATCTTGTGTCTCTGCCTCGACTTGTGCTTCTTCTGCTATCTCTTCTTCTATCCCTACTACCACTTCTACCCCTCTGACGGCTGCGACTTCTGTTTCGGCGCGTACGACTGCCACTGCGAGATCTTGACCTAGATCTACGACGTTCATATCTATCTCTGGATCTTGACCTAGACCTAATTAAAAATGCAAATAAAAAACAATGAGTACTTGAAAGCTGCAGACATGCTTGGGAGATATGCAACAAGTTGTCTAAATTTTTTTTAATAAATCAAAAGTTACTAGAAATTTGTTCTTTTCAGAAGATGCTTATACATCACTGCTTAAATGAAGATACAGCATCTTTGAATTTTAACAGTTTTATTTTAATTTAAATGACACTGCAAAATTGTTTACAAACATAGATATAAACAACTGGATCTTACAAATTATACCCATAGCTCCTCATCAACAAGGCCAACAATAACACACACACAAATAGCCAGTCTCAAGATGCGCCTTCACTAGCGCACACTATGCCGTATCACAAAGGCCACCGGGCCAATCTCAAGCTTCTGCCACAGTAGTTCAAACCACAGGAGCCAATCAGAGTGCACCATGGCCTGCCCCCAGTCACCAGGCTTTGTGACCTGGCCAATCATACGTCTCTGTGATCAAACCCAAACCACGACACAGGATTTAGCTCTGCCATCCAATACACATTAATGACTATCACCATCATCACTTCTACCCTCACAGGGGGAAGCAAATACCAACACAACCCAAATCCTCCAAACACAGCCTGCACAAAAATAAGAGCAACCAGGAAAAGAAATGTTTCATCTTTAAACGCAGTTTAACCACAAACACAAAGCATTATTTAAAAGAAAAGCAAAACATTATTTAATGCTGAATTGAAAGAATGACAATGTCCATTTCGGTTAATTGTATTATGAAGAAAAAATTTATTGAGGATAAAACACTTTTTATATTATCATATAGGCCCAATTATTAATTTAAATGGAGCTGTTTATAAATTCAAAATAGCTATATTGAAACATTTTTGGCTCTTAAAAAAATTAATTGTGCTGTCACTATACACAAATTCTGAATGTTTAATATATATATTTTACAGATCAAAATACTGTCTATAATTTTTAAATAAAAAGACATGACAATCTTAAACTAAACAATAAAAATAAACATAAAAAATGCAATAATTTCCATAATAAACCTAGAGGCTATCTATTAAAAATAATCAGCATTAAAATTTATAGAAGACCATGGGAATTATTTTTTTAAAAGACAATATATGGGGTATAAAAGACAAAATTGAGAAGCTAAAATCATATCTTCAATTATTGAAATGTAATTTTTTATTTAAACATAGCATTCAGAAAAAAAATTATATTAGTTCATGACAAAGAATTTTTAAAAATCACCATAAAAATAATCAATGTACCAACCTGTTTCGACGACGACCCTTTACACAATCACGAGCCAGATGACCAAACTCAAGGCAATCATAACATCGTCTGTTTCTTCCTCCTCCAGCAGGAATACCTCTAGTTCCCTTCATACGTGGTTTAGCTATAGATACACGGATCCTTTTTCCATTGAGAGACCTAAGTAAGAATGAAAGAACCCAGTATCAAATATCACCATTAATTATTTTTTAAAGACAATAAATGCAATGTCCACAACTCGATACACATGGTAAGCTTTAGTCTTTTATACTGGTAATTATTATAAAACATGAGATGAAATGAGACTTACTCCCCATCCATCTTTCTTACGGCCTCGTTTGCATCATCCTTATACTTGTAAACAACAAATGCAAAACATGGTGGAATTCTGGCTACCCATATTTCCCGTAAAGGCCCAAATTTTTCAAAGGCTCTGTAAATCTCTGACTTAGAAGGGTCTAAGCCCAAATCTGCAATGTGAACTCGACATTTGTTTTCATCATCTGAACTGGGGCTGTGGCTGTAACTTCTTCGCTTTCTGTCAGTTTTATCAGCTGAACCACTGCGACTTCTGCTGCCTCCACTCCCACTGCGACTACGGCTTTTGGATCTACTAGAAGATCTACCCATTATCTGCAAAACAACAAAACAGATATTCAAGCTTTATTTGTAATAAGTATCAAAGCAAAAAATAATTTTAAAATATTTATAGCAAAATAATATTTTTTGTCAATCAACAAGTGACATGGCTATGATTTAGCCATTGATTTAGTTATTCGAAGGTCGGTATCATCCATGTGTCAATAATATAGTAGACAGGCGAAGCAATTATCATTAAGCCTCCATTGTAAGCAATTTCATGAGGAGACATCATTTTATCATTAAAAATATTAATATCTGGATTAAAAATGATGTAGGCCTATTTGCGAAATAATTAAAAAGGCATAAATATATATCGCGACGACTTCTTTTGAACATTCAACTTTTGCACATAACTAATAAAACTTTCTTTGACCAATGATTTAATAGTATTTTCACACGCCACATTCATTCTCTTATCAATGATTCTCAATGAAACTGTGAGAATAGTAATGCAATATATTTAGAATAAGACATGCAAGGACTGTGAATGGTTGCTCATGACTTTTGGCACACTGCAAATTATGACCATTTATAATATTGACCAGGTTTTTAAACCGCAAATTAAAACATTCTTGTTTAAATTACTTCTAAGCTCATTCTAAAACACAAGTTATCAAATATATTGATGTAAATGGTAATAATTAAATATTTTCTGTATCTCCCGCCATTAAAATGGGGTGTGGTGTGGCTCATGCCATGATCAAAATTAGGATGAGCAACCTTATGGTAATGCAGGTTCAGGGGACTAGCGTAACGAGCGTCGGACATGACATACATCCTACATCAATGAGAATTGGTACACGTATACATCAATATATAATATAGGCATAGGCCTAAAGCTTTTCAAGATTTAATTTTAGGCAGTGTCTACATGTCCGGCGACCGGGAGATATTCTCGCTGCGGGTACGTCACATGACCGCCTGATAACTAGTTTATTATTCTGGCAGACAAGTCATGTGACAAGAGGTCTTCTGCAAAATTTTTTATCATAAGCTTTTACTTTTGACTTAAAACTATTTAAATAATTCTAGTAGGCCTTTATAAAAAAACAAAGAAAAAACAAAGTCAGTTATCTTGGTTTAAACATCTTATATAATATATCTCTACCTAGTAGCCTAAATTTAAAACCAAACACAATAAGACCAATACTTGGCAGTTGACTTTCAATAGACCAATGTCAATTTTTTTGGGCTATTGTGTGAGAAGTAGACTACCCTAACATCACACTATATTATTTGGCCATGGCCATGTGCAAAAACTATTAAACCATTGTTCAGGTAAAGTGAAAGCTTTAATTAATTATTCATGTGCCCAAGTTGAAAGTTTAAAATAGGTCGACCCTAAACAATATTTTAGTGATAAGGGGATGCGTTGCCTTATATAAACTATATAGTCATTGCGTGTGACGTGATCAGCGGAATGAGGTCACAAGATGTGGAGGTTTCGTCCAGTCGTTTCATAACACGTGTTTTGCACTAAATTTTGGCCGCCATGTTGGTTGACACTTCACGTGTCGTGTCAACTAATATGGCAGCCATGATGGGAAACCCCGGGCATCGTCCTCAACATTTACCCATTTTTTTTTTTTTTAAATTTGCTCTAAATAACTGAAATATCAAAAAAATTATTTTTAATTTTTTCACTTAAGTACCTAACCTAATTAGCCTAATAATATTCAAATATTCTGAATAATCTCATTATCCTGAGATCAGAATTAAGAACACATTAGTATTAGCCAATGTCCATTGAATTTATTGTTAACAGATGCAATTATATGAATAATAAGACTAAAAGTAAAAGAAATGCATTATCACCATAACAGATTTTAACTTAAGCTTTCTTAACTGTAGAGGGACGAAAATGACGGCCATTTTGTATTCCAATTCGGAGTACTAATTTGTTTAGAATGTAATATCTAACAATTTATTTATCAATCTAATTGCATAAGCATTAGTCTGCATAAGTAATGTTACCTAAAAATTTGTTTCTTCGAACAAATTATGAACAAAAACAAATTACACTTTTGATTTGATACGCCCAAAACTTCAAGACCTCGGCGTCAACGAAGTAAAAGTAAACGTCACGATTGGGGAGTATTTGTGATTGGTCAAAATATTATTAGAAATTCCGTACATAACTTTAGTAACGAGAACTTTTTCAGCGACGTTCACGTTAGATAATACGGTAAATCTTTGTCACCTTAATAAATTAGTTTGCTATTTTCTCTAGGACTCTAGTAGCCTAAACACAGCTTCCAAACATATAAGCTATTCATTTCCTTTTTCATATGTGTTGTTTAATGTTTCGCTTTGTTGACTTCAAGAAAGCATTTGACATGGTTTGGCATGCTGCTTTATGGGCCACCATGAGGCACTACAACATCAACACAAACCTAACCAGCATGATATGCAACCTCTATGATAAGGCCACCAGTGCAGTCTTCCTCAACAACATCGGAGAATGGTTCAAGACCACGGTTGGAGTACGACAAGGCTGCCTGCTCTCCCCCACCCTATTCAACATCTTCCTGGAGAGAATTATATCAGATGAAAGAAAGGGTTCGTCAGGCAATTATGGAGTACGATGACCTACTGGTGACTGTGAAAAAACGCAAACTACAATGGTACGGCCACGTAATAAGGAAACAAGGGCTTGTCAAAGAAATATTGCAGGGCACCACAAGAGGAGCAAGAAGAAGAGGAAGACAAAGAAAAAATGGGAGGATAACATCAAAGAGTGGACAGGACTAACACTGGGCGATGCAGTGCGTAGTGCTGAAGACAGAGAAGAATGGAGGAGGATGGTTCACATGTCATCTGTGGCGCCCCAACGGTCCAAGGACTAAGGGACATGAGGATCAGGAGGAATGTTTCGCTTAAAATTTTGATTACAATGTCGTTGCTCTGTGTTGTCTTTTTTTCCCAATTTTCCCCTTTACACTTACACTTGTTCCGTATTTCCTAGCTTTATTTTTTTTTTAACCTTTAAGTTATATTTATGTTTGTCTTTCGTCCTGTCCTGCCTTATTTGATTGTTTACTTATGAGATGTGTAGAAATTTTTGATATGTCCAACAAATAATATTGACTTTTGATCCCCCCCTTCCCCGCCCCCCCCCCATCGGCAGAGCCCACGTCTGCCCTCCCGTCCCCACCTTTATTTGATTGTTTTCTTATGAGATGTGTAGAAATTTTTGATATGTCCAACAAATAATATTGACTTTTGATCCCCACCTTCCCAGCCCCCACCCAAAAAAAAAAAAAAACGCTCTTGCCCTCCAGCCTATACATTTTCCCACACCACCTCAAACACCCCCCCCCTTTTTTTCACACAATACTGCTATTCTTACTGCCATCTTCTCTAAATAAATTTACATATTCACACATACATACACAAAAATAAACACACACAACAAGCTCGACTGATATACAAACTAACGCACCAAAATATTTTAAAAATCACACTGTGCGCAACTTTTTCTAGATCATCATGACCAAGCTTGCTTAGGCTATTTGGCTGACACCATTAGCATTGTCGTCTTTAATAAACTTTTAACTTGAAATATGACAATTTTCAGGTCATATTTCAAAATATTGTTGTGAATAACCTCATAGCTTTGTAAACGGGGATTTTTAAAATGTTTAATTTTTTTTTTTGGCGGGGGGGGCGTGGGGTTGTATTTTTATATATCTACTTAGTCTAAGTAAAGACATTAGTGTGTATACTTATCTACATTGGGAAAAAAGTTTTGAGTTTAATGTCACCTTCTTGTAAAGGGGGATTTTTAAAATGTTTAATTTTTTTTTTTGGGGGGGGGGGCGTGGGGTTGTATTTTTATATATCTACTTAGTCTAAGTAAAGACATTAGTGTGTATACTTATCTACATTGGGAAAAAAGTTTTGAGTTTAATGTCCCCTTCACTCCAGTGAATGAGTGCGGATCCGAGAATCAGTTCGTTTCAGGATAAAGCAATGACGCGATTATATTTTTACAATTTTTACAATGTTATACAAATTTTGGACCCCCCTCCTCCCCCAACCAACCCAAAGTATGTTACATTTTCGAACTAACTTGTTAAAAAATTAACAACTAATTAAAATTTAATTGAAAACACACTTCACTATTACTATTATATATACATATATATATATATATATATATATATATTAATATATAAGTGACATCTTCTATCAGAAAATTAAACATCAAGGTCAATTTCAGGTTTTATATATATGATTTTAACAAATGTGTGACGTCGCATATGATCTTTACCCCACCCTTAATTTCCGTAAAAACTGCCACACCTTCTTAGACCCTTCCCTCCACACACCCTCCCCCGTGGACGGCCCCTAACTTATCGTTCATAGAAAATAAATTGTTGGAGCTCAAAGCTGGCGATGGCTGTTTGAGAAATGTGGAAAAAATGTCACTCGCACATGTTTGAATACAAAATATAAAAAAATATCACGATCTCTCAGAAAAATGAAGAAACTTCACCCCAAAAATTATATATAAATATATATATATATATATATATATATGTATGTGTGTGTGTGTGTGTGTGTGTGTGTGTGTGTGTGTGTGTGTGTGTGTGTGTGTGTGTGTGTTATGATTAATAACAAATGGGATTTTTAAAATCAGGTAATATGATTAGCCATCATTATCATTCATTCGAATTCATCAATTCAACTATGAAAACAAAAAACTTTCTAAAAAAAATAAGCTCTTTCATAATTTCACTATGGCTATTATTATAATTAATTTGGTGTTAATTAATAGTGTTGGTGCCATTGATTGTTTTGTTATGTAAGGTTTAATCTCATACAATCCGAATTGCATGAAAATTGGGTTAGTTCATAAAATACAACAACATTTTTTTTTTACCCAGCCTAAGTTCTTTTCGGTATTTCATAGCAGCTGAGTGTGATACCGGTACCGCAACATGAAAAAGTTTAAGTAGCAATGTTATAGTTGAATTTATATTTTTTGGTGTGTAAACTTCAGCTTGCTAAATGGCCATTCTTTTGTTTTAACAGCCCAGAAATGGTACACAAAATGACAAAATACACAACGCAATGATTATATTCCACACAAAAAATTTACTTTATAAATAAAGTAATCTACAGTGGAATTTTTGGTGACAGGAGTAATTTACGAAATTTGCCCTCTCGTTGTCTCCACTAGTCTACAACTAACTACAAGAACTTTCGAGTGCACTTTTGTTACTTAGTGTCGTTTCAGTTTGAAAACTTGTCTATGCTCCTTGGGGCACCAACTGTACTACATTGGTGATCATTGTAAAGTTTCTTTTTCTTTCTGATCTTATAACGGATGGCTAATATTGTTTTAAAAAAAAAAACAAATAAAAAAAAATAAAAAAAAATAAAAACCAGCGAATGTGAAAAGGATTGCGATGAGTTACGGGATAGCAAGTAACAAAACAAGATTATATAATTATTAATTAATAATAAGCACAGTTTAATACATTATTTGAAATAAAATTGTATAGGTATTACAGAAAGGAAGCTTAATTCACAATAGAAAATGAGGCATATGCTATAAGATTATTAAGTTCAAAGTATCAGTGAATAGTTTGCTGAGGGGAAATTAAATTATTAGTCTAGGAGTTAGGCCTGCGGAGTCTATTTTCAGTTGGAATTTATGTAGGTTAGCTTTCAATCTGGTTCTCTGGTTCTGGTTCTGGTAATGTTTCGTTGCTGCATCCATGTACTGGCATCTTTGCAATGTTTCGTTGCTGCATCCATGTACTGGCATCTTTGCAATGTTTGGGGATATAATGTTGCTATTCTGGAAATTATTTGCATTTTACAATACTCCTTATTAAATGAATGCTTAAATAATAATTATAATAAATAAATAATAATATTTATAATATTTTATATCCATCACTTTGAAGCAATATGACTCATTATGACATAAATATATCAGGTCTCATTTGAGAAAGTAGCCTGGTCTTTGTGTTGAAAAATAACGGTAGCAATTCTTATTGAACTCCGGAAAGGTGGAAGAAATCTTCTGTACTTCTGGTAATATTGGCCAACAAATAGAAATTAATCATGGCTGCTGCCACAGCTAATCCGAATGTCCCGGCTCCAGCTCGGCCTTGGAATCCTGACTTCAAGCACACTGACAGAGAAAGGTACACTGAGATGTCTTTATTTTATTAACAACCGCAGATTAATAAAAAAAGACTAAAAATTTGATGTTCTAAACCAAACACGTTTAGTAGCTAGCTAAACATCTGGCTAAGTTTGGCAAACTTGGAACTTAAAATAACCTTTACTTTATTAGTCTTATTTTTACTTTTAAATTTAAAGTTTTGTTATTTACGGCTTTAAGGCATTTCTACTTTTATTTTAGACCTTTCTACTGACCTGCTTTGAAAGGTCTACCAGAATTTTATGACAAAATAGTCCTTTCATCAATGAAAAAAGCACTTTGAGTTATCCAACAAATGTTGACATAATTACTTGGGGGGAGGGGGGTGTCACTGAAAGTATGACAGTTTTTGACAAGTGGTGAGATGGGGTAAAAAAATTGCTTTAAAATTGTTGATGTAATTAATGGATGGCCCCTAAATGAATTGTCTATAAGATAAACGTAAAACATTTGTAAATTTAAGTTTTGGTAGGAAATTATGTACACTGGCCCCCACTCCAATACCAACTTTATGTATGCTGGGCCCCACTCCAATACCAACTTTATGTATGCTGGGCCCCACTCCAATACCAACTTAATGTACACTGGGCCTCACTCCCAATAACAACTTGATGTACACTGGGCCCCACTCCAATACCAACTTTTTTATGTATACTGGGCCCCACTCCCAATAACAACTTTATGTACCCTGGGTCCCACTCCAACACCAACTTTATGTACACTGGGCCACACTCCAATACTAACTTTATGTACACTGGGCCCCACTCCAACACCAACTATTACTTAGATCTAGCTAAAATAGTAAAAGCACTGTAAACCTGGTCCTGACTCATAACATCACTTGATGGTTTAAAGATCAGTCATCAACGACAACATTCCTATACACTAAAGTTTGTTCTGAGTTTCTCTCTAGAGTTTAGACTAGATGTTTCTTAGCCTAAAAGAAAAAAATAAATTATTTATGACTAGTCAAAATTTCTAAAAAGGTGGTGATAGGTAGTGCATAATACAGCCCTAAACATAATTTGCGATTGGAAGGGATCAATGTTTCCTAATTCACAGTGGCCTAAATATAATTCAGGATGAATATAGCAAATTTATTGCATCCCTCAGCTATGAGACAAGATGCTCTATGATCAGTGCTCTCTCCTTTCGTGTGCTTTCTCCTCACATAGTCTGAAATGAGGGTGTTACATACTGTGTACAGCAATCGTACACATAAAGGTCGATATTTATAATATAAAGTTGCAACTATAGTGCATGTGCATTAAAATAGAGATAAATTGTGCCCTGTGAAACCCAGTTACACCCATGGCATTAGATGAGTTGTGAAACTGCTAAAGGGCATTGTACTTGTCATATAAATTTTTATACGAGGTCTCGCACCCCCCTTAAAATATTTGAACAAGTTCTTACTCCCCATAAATAACAAATCTCTCACTCCCCATAAATTATTTGAACAAGTCTCTCACTCCCCATAAATTATTTGAACAAGTCTCTCACTCCCCATAAATTATTTGAACAAGTCTGTCACTCCCTATAAATTATTTGAACAAGTCTCTCACTCCCCATAAATTATTTGAACAAGTCTATTTTGAACAAGTCTGTCACCCCCTATAAATTATTTGAACAAGTCTCTCACTCCCCTAAAATGCATTTTAAAATTAGAAAAACAATGGACTTCCATTTTTAGAGATAAAAAATATATACATTCCTGCAATCACTTATATCTTAACTTAAAAAAGTCAATAGCTTTTCTGTTCTTGTATTTGGTTGTTGAGTTGTTGTCAATCTTCATTTGTTCATGCTTTGATTACTTTGAAGTTAAGCTCACTGACAAAGATTATAATGTAATACTTTGAAGTTAAGCTCTCTGACAAAGATTTTAATATGTTACTTTGAAGTTAAGCTCACTGACAAAGATTTTAAAGTATTACTTAGAAGTTAAGCTCACTGACAAAGATTTTAATGTATTACTTAGAAGTTAAGCTCTCTGACAAAGATTTTAATATGTTACTTTGAAGTTAAGCTCACTGACAAAGATTTTAAAGTATTACTTAGAAGTTAAGCTCACTGACAAAGATTTTAATGTATTACTTAGAAGTTAAGCTCACTGACAAAGATTTTAAAGTATTACTTAGAAGTTAAGCTCACTGACAAAGATTTTAATGTATTACTTAGAAGTTAAGCTCACTGACAAAGATTTTAATGTATTACTTAGAAGTTAAGCTCACTGACAAAGATTTTAATGTATTACTTTGAAGTTAAGCTCACTGACAAAGATTTTAATGTATTACTTTGAAGTTAAGCTCACTGACAAAGATTTTAATGTATTACTTTGAAGTTAAGCTCACTGACAAAGATTTTAATGTATTACTTTGAAGTTAAGCTCACTGACAAAGATTTTAATGTATTACTTAGAAGTTAAGCTCACTGACAAAGATTTTAATGTATTACTTTGCAATTTTGTGATTTCAGATGGATTTGTATTTACCCTGCCTACTTAAACAGTAAAAAAACTTTAAAAGAAGGGCGTAGAGTCCCTAAAGCCAAGGTAAATATACGTTTTAAAAATCAAATTCCGAATCAAAAATAGCAGTGGACTGAGATATGGTAAGAGATGGTGGAGAGCAACAGGTTTTCTACATGAATTCAACAAGTTCCAAAGTCATATGACAAAGTTCATGAATTTTTAAATCGTAGCTATCAAAACACAGTGTTTAGCATTCCCTTTGGTAACTCAAATGTCTTGGAAACTGCCTAGTTGTTCTTCATTATCTTTTTGGTTAGATGACTGTTGCCTTCTTACCTTACATAATGCTTACACTGAATACTAATACTGTCCTCCTTCTGACCACAGGCCATTGACAACCCGGTGTGTGGAGAAATAAGGGATGTGTGTGCGTCAGCAGGCTTTGTTCTGGGTGTTGAGGTCAACCATTTTTCTAATTGAATTTACAACATATATAATATTAGGATTAAATGTTATTATAACTATAATGTGGGGCTTGCTAAACCCTTTTAACTCCATGTCACCATTAAATCACTTTCATTCTTCGACATCGTTCTTCCAGGATATAGTCTTTGACTTCTGTTGTTTCAAAAAATGTTTTTTAATTTGGATGCTACTAATGTCTATGTTATTTTTAACGCAGAATAAAGTTTATCCCAGAGAGCTCGATCCCAGAGACGTCAAGTACAGAGGACGTGTCAGAGTTATGCTAAAAAATGAAGATGGGACCCCGGCAATACCCCAGTTTCCTGACCGTGAGTTGACAAAACTTTTCTCTCTCTCTTTGATTACACAGGTTCGCATGTGTCTGGACAGTTGGGGGTGTGAAGTGCCCTCAGGTTATAAATTGGGTTGACTGATGCAGATGATCAAAGATGGATCAAAGATGTGTTTTATACAGTTGCAATGTTTTGTAGTGTTTACACAAAATTTAAAGTTCAAGATAAGTGAAAATACTCTAAAAGCAAGTTATGCTGTCACAGAGATCATTGCTAAGACGTTGAAATCACATACTCTCGCCGAATCCACAATCTCAATTGTATGCAGAGTAAGTGTGAAAATTATGTTTAGTGAGACTGTCGTGTCTGACATCAGGGATCAATAAGATGTCACTGTCAGACAATACAATAAGCAGACATATTTTAGACATGTCCAGCGAAATGGAAAGTCGCGTTTTGGCAAAGTTAAAATCATTGCATTCTTTGCACATCAGTTGTATGACAGCTCCAATGACAGTGGTAATTCAAAGCTTATGGGTTCTGTACATGTTGTTGCTAATGGTGATATTGTTGAAGATTGTTTCTCTGCTGTCAGGAGTTACTAGAAACTAGAAACAACAAAAGAACAAGACATGTTAGCAGGTTTCAATTCATACTGTGACTTGAACTGGAAAAAAATGAGTTCGTATTTGTACCGATGGCACCTTTTTCCATGATGAGAAATGTCAAAGGTTTTGTCTTGCTGGAGCAATAGATGAATCCAGCCATCACGGCCACTACCGGTCACTTTTCGTTTCATCCACAGAGAGGCCACTAGTTTCTGCAATAGTTTAAGTCTGTGCTGGACATAGTTGTGACAATTAATAATAATAATAATAATAATAAAGCTTATTTGAAAATCAAGCTTCATCCCCAAAGGCTCGAAGTGTGGTACAAAGTCATCCATATTAAAAGAGAAATGAAAAAATCTATATTTTACCACATTGAAATCCAAAACGCAACATTATAAAAACTACATACGAGAATACCAATTCTAAGTCTTTCATCCCTTGCAACCATAAACAACACAGGCCACTATACATCTAGGAGAAAATAGCTAGCTGGAAAAGATGGTAGACAACATCACCCCAGCAGGTGTTTGCGAAATAGATATGTTTTCATATCGGTTTTGAAAGACTCCAGTGTCTGTCTGTTTCTGAGAGCGGCAGGAAGTGTGTTCCAAATTGTTGGGCCAGCAAATGTGAAAGTGCGCCTTCCGCAAGTCTCAAGGCGAACACGTGGTATCGATAGTTTGTCACTATCGGATGAGCGGAGTTGTCTAGTGGGTACATAAGGCGTCATGAGTGCTTTGAGATAGGACAGCGCCAGGTCATGCAAGCAGTGATAGCACAGAGTTGTAATTGTTAATTATGTGAAAATGGGACTTCTGAAATGTCGCCATTTGGCTAAACTTTGTGGAGGCATGGAAGCGGACCATGTCACACTCATCGAAAACATGTGCGAGTCGGGATTTTCTGCCATGACCACTAACAAACACAAGAAACGAGAATGACTTTTGTCTGTGGAAAATAAACTTTGGGCCGTCTCTCTTGAACATTTGGCCAAAAATTCAAATGCTTTGTAGAAATCTCCAAGCACGAGTTTCGCCCAGAAATGTTCCCTACTGCAAACTAGTAGCATCTGCTACTCTAGTCAGAGTTTAGTTCTGATTTGAGCTACAATTACAGTGTTACACACACACACTTGTGTCAATCAGTGTTTTCTTTTTTGTGCATACTGGTAACTCAATATAGGAAAATATTGGAATAGAACAAAACCTTCTGTTACTGCATGTCATTCCGTAAAACAATTTAAATGCTTCAAAGGGTTCCATTCAAATAAAAAGGTTGAAAACCACTGTCTTACACTACACAGACCAAGTAAACTACACAGACTACACAGACCAAATTGTAAGGTGTAGTTTTCACTTATGCTGATACGTATGAAAGGGAAACAAAGCTGCCTCTACTGAAAGCAATAAATTATTATTTTGATTTAACATTTGTACTTTGATTTGGATACAGTCTGATCATATCTTTGTTTGTACTCTGATACAATTTTGATGTCACATCTTTTCTTGTTTCCCCAACAGGAATGTCAGTATTGATGTATTTGACAGAGACAATACCAAAATTAAAAGGAAGGCTTCAGTCTCAGTCATCGGGCCAGGCACAGCATCAACAGCAGCAGCAACAGCAGGGGACCAAAGGCCAGAAAAAGAAAGGACGAAAATAAAACATTTCATTTCTAGAATTTTAGCCAGAAATTGAAATAAAACTGCAAGCATTAGGGCTGTCTCGTAATTATATCTATGGCATTTTATAATCTAGGGCCATCAAACACTGGATAATGTAGACTTTGGAACTTTTTGCAAAGAACTAGACAAACAATAAATATTATTTTTGATTTATTCCTTAATACCCTGTTTTGTGATCATAAATGAAGGACTGCTTTTTGTGAACAGAGCGAATAAAAGTGAAATTAAAAATTTATTTCACATTAACTCTTCTCCAGCTGAGAAACAAAAAATCATGATTAAAAGTGAAAATTTCTCAAATTGTTTCAATAAAAATGTCTTTGTTTTTCATGTTGAGTTGATCCCTTTTGGAAACCAAATCTTGTATTGTTTTCTTTGTGACCCTGGAGACTTGGCTGTCCATGAGTGTAAGAAGAGTCCAAGTTGGTGTTGCTGGTCGAAGTTTCCAAAAATAGGTGTATAGAAATTCTTGTTTTTGTTTACCTGACACAAACTTGGCAGGAAATAATTTTTGGGTCAGGTATTTTTAGCATTTAACTCTTTGGGGAGATGGCTATTTAATGTCTTCTTTTAAAAAGATATTTATCCAATTTATGATTTTTCTCCTCATGAATGTCTTATCTCTTGGAGTGACAGAATGACAGTGTGTATGCAAGTTTCAATCTTCCACAATTTTTTTCCTCATGATTGTCATCAACTGTTGATGGTTGCCACACAACAGATTATAATACTTTTCTTTTTGTAAGTACATTTTCTTAAAATTGTGATGAATAAAATGACTTATTGATACAAGTCACCTTGTCTCAATGTTCTGTTCTTCCTGCAAGCACAATTATTTAATTTGAATAAGTCACTACATCTTGGTCTGAGTGTTGTCACTATTGAATGCTGTCATTTTTTAAAATAATGTACATTTTAGTGGATAACTGTGAATGTTTTTGTCTTGTCTGTGGATACCAACCGAATTACACAATGGTACATCATTTTTATCATCTCACAAACTGGATGGTGTATCATAAAATTAAAGAAAATTATCAATATAATTAAGGGGGTGAAGACGATTTAACACTGGTCCCCATTCCATAAACGTGTTTCTTGTTTTGTAGGCACTATCCTGGTTGTGGGTGGCTACTTTTTATCCAGGGCTCAAGGTACTAAATGAGTTGAGAACTGCTGAAATAATTTAGCTTTTTATTTAGTAGTCTTAAGGAGGCAGACTTGCAAAATTTTGAGTACCGGTACCTCTTAAGGTGAATTACATTATGTTACGATTATTAATGATTTAGCGCTAAATTAATTAAGATCTCAATAAAATAAAAATATTTTCTGTAGCTTGAAAATAAAAAAAAAATGAGTTTTGTTATTTCTTTAAATTTAATGGTCATTGAAAAGCTATTGTGTATTTATGTCAAATCTCTTAAGGAAAAGGCAGTCTACTCTCATTTCATAAATCTTGATAATGAAAGAAATTGCTAAATGTTAAAATTTAAGAGATATTTCAATTTGTCCATAAAATATATAAATGCTCATATTTTTCGGTTGTATCCCTTTGATCGTTACATGAAATAGTGGAAACTAAAAAAACTATTTTTTAGTACACCTATAGTTTTGACCGTTTAATGCAAAAAAAAAAAAAAAAAAAAATTAAAAAATTTCACATATTAAAAAAAATTCGTTATTGTTAAGTCCTCAGTTAAATAACCATTCATAATAACAATGCATCTGTTGCATATAAAAACCATATGTTTACTGCAATTGAAAACAGCATGATTGATGCACAGTAAATTGAGGAACATTATCGTTAGTATTTTATTTGTTTCAAAGTGAAAAAAACAAAAAACCTACTTATCATTCGAACACTGTTTTTATAGAGTATTTTTTTTTTTCTTATCTTCTTCAAAGACAACTTTTTTTGCCGCACAAAAAATAAAATATTAATTTACTTTATTAAAATTTTTATCTCAAAATTGAAACGATTTTTTTGGTTAGCACTGTCATCAGATCTTCATACCTGCATCTTAGATCTCAATAGCATAAATCAGGGGTGGGCAATCTACGTGCCACGTGCGGCCCGCAACTGATATTATGCGGCCCTCGAAGACTTTAGAAATTTAAAAAATACTTTGTTTTTAATTTGTTTTGTTGAATTTTACCGAATGTCTTGTCCCGTTATGATTGTTTTAACATTTTCGATCAACTTTTTAATTTTATATTTTTTAAAACAATCCTTGGCGTTTGTCATGTAATTCTAAAATGCGAATTTACCGATTTCAATATAGAGAAAATTTTTATCGACCTTTAAAAATTGGACATAACATAGGCCTACATGCGCAGTATTCAAAAATATAAGTAACTTAATAAAGTAATAAATAGCATGACGTTAATGAAGTAAGTTAATGATACAAAGAACGCTGAAAGTAATTTAAATTCGAATTAATCAATTAAGGAGAAAGTCCGTGCTTTCTGGGCACAACTTTATTTTTATTGATTAAAAAAAATTAGTACAAGGGAATGCAGTAGTGAGAAGATGCTTAAATATCACAGAGTACAGCAGACAAGATAGATCTAGACCTACCGCTGTCTAGGTAATCTTCTTTGCATAAAGGGGCAGGACAGACTCCCTGATATAGAGTTCCTACAAACGGGCTGACTTTATCAGCATCCACCTGCTCCTAAAACAAAGGACAAGCCAGATGGGGAGGACAAGTCAGATGGGCAGGACAAGTCAGATGGGCAGGACAAGTCAGATGGGCAGGACAAGTCAGATGGGCAGGACAAGTCAGATGGGCAGGACAAGTCAGATGAGCAAGACAAGTCAGATGGGCAGGACAAGTCAGATGAGCAAGACAAGTCAGATGGGCAGGACAAGTCAGATGGGCAGGACAAGTCAGATGGGCAAGACAAGTCAGATGGGCAGGACAAGTCAGATGAGCAAGACAAGTCAGATGGGCAGGACAAGTCAGATGGGCAAGACAAGTCAGATGGGCAGGACAAGTCAGATGAGCAAGACAAGTCAGATGGGCAGGACAAGTCAGATGGGCAGGACAAGTCAGATGGGCAAGACAAGTCAGATGGGCAAGACAAGTCAGATGGGCAGGACAAGTCAGATGGGCAGGACAAGTCAGATGGGCAGGACAAGTCAGATGGGCAAGACAAGTCAGATGGGCAGGACAAGTCAGATGGGGAGGACAAGCCAGATGGCAAGACAAGTCAGATGGGGAGGACAAGCCAGATGTGCAGGACAAGTCAGATGGGCAAGACAAGTCAGATGGGGAGGACAAGCCAGATGGGCAAGACAAGTCAGATGGGGAGGACAAGCCAGATGGGCAGGACAAGCCAGATGTGCAGGACAAGTCAGATGGGCAGGACAAGTCAGATGGGCAGGACAAGCCAGATGGGCAGGACAAGTCAGATGGGCAGGACAAGCCAGATGGGCAGGACAAGTCAGATGGGCAGGACAAGCCAGATGGGCAGGATAAGTCAGATGGGCAGGACAAGTCAGATGGGCAGGACAAGCCAGATGGGCAGGACAAGTCAGATGGGCAGGACAAGCCAGATGGGCAGGACAAGCCAGATGGGGAGGACAAGCCAGATATGCAGGACAAGTCAGATGGGCAGGACAAGCCAGATGGGGAGGACAAGCCAGATGGGGAGGACAAGTCAGATGGGCAGGACAAGCCAGATATGCAGGACAAGTCAGATGGGCAGGACAAGTCAGATGGGCAGGACAAGCCAGATGTGCAGGACAAGCCAGATGGGCAGGACAAGTCAGATGGGCAGGACAAGGCAGATGGGCAGGACAAGCCAGATGTGCAGGACAAGCCAGATGGGCAGGACAAG